GATTTAAATTTGTCGTGCAATAGGTGTTAAATATTCATGTTTGATATGCAATTTTAGTTAGATATTTATATATACATTCAGGTGTTTAATATTATGCATATATAAAATTACTGCAATGTTTCCCAAATTTTATAACGCCCAGCTAACCCATGAACTTGTGCAAGATTCTTTGCTACGGTGCACGCGGCGCCAACCGAGCTGTCCGTAAGAAATACGTGAGAAGAAGAAGAAAAACGCCAACAGGAGAAAAAGACAGTTGCCGTTGCGTCTTCTTTTCAAAACAATCGGGAAAGCGCCATTCTTTTTTTAGGTGTCGTATTTCTTACATACGGTGACTTTCTTCTTTAATAGCTTTGGCCCGTGGCCTAGATATAAGGAAAAACGCCCCGTTGGCGAGGAGTGCCGCACAACCCGAAAGTGCTAACGCTTACGTTTGCGATGCGCATTCAGCAGCGAAATATCACTAACAGCCAATCACCTTCCGCGAATTGCATCATATGTGCCACATCTCCGCTTTTGTGAATGTATCAGCGGCCATGCTGTTTTTGACCATAAGCAGAAAACGGCTTGTAATATCACGATGATCGTATGACGTTCCTGTGACATCATCATTGCGGAAGTGGCTTTGAAATAGTCCCCAAATAAGCCTTTTTTAGTTCGAAACCCCATATAAAGGTGGAACATTTTCTTTAACGCATTTTCCATCAGAGTGCATGCTTTTCACATAAAACGTAACTCATTTGTGTTCATGACAAGCCACTAAAAAATATTTCTGAAGCACCCTGCAGAGTCCGAAAGCACACGGAACCGTTAAAGTATGTGTGTTGAGCTTATTGCCACTCATCAGATAATCTAGGGAGTGGAGGAGAACCTGGTTAGCCAGCCAGTATACCCCGATTGAGATGAAAAACGTACCGCTTGAGGGCGGACGGATCAAAGGACTTGTATCAGATGAGGTCGAGGTGCGAGGCCTATCTAAATCCGCTGTCCGACGAGGTGCGTGGAGGAAAACGGCAAAATAGATGTGACATGCTAAGCGTCCATGCAACATGGGTGAGCCGTCGCGATAACAGATTGCGTGGCATGCGTTAAGTCCGCTGTTTAACTCCACGTTTTGTTTAAGCCATGGTGGTCGCTGAACGAGCTGCGGGTTGAATGGGCATGCGGTCTGCAGTAATCGATGGCTCGAATTGGACGGCACTCAGCAGCGAGGATTTCATACTGGAAGATTGTTGTCCATTATCTGGCGTCATTGGGGCTTCACGACACACTCAGCCTCTGAGACCATGTAGCATCGCCTGCCATATCATCTGCCGGTTGCCTATTTTCATTCGTTCCAATGATTCGCAATGCTGCTCCTAAGCAATGTTTAACGCATCATTTAACGCCCGGTGAAGCCGTCATATGTTCGCTGCTGCCAACGCCAAACTCTGACAAAGAGCCCACAATGTTCTTTGCTAACTTAAGCTAACGGAGACTGCAACGCTTAAGATCGAAAAGCTGTGTAAGTAATGAGGGTGCGCACGGTAAAACATCAACGCAGTGGATTTTTTTTTGTGTAACGATATTCGTCCTCTGCAACAAGAAACCGTTGCTTCTGTTGGTTGGAGCTTTCGCCATTTTGTAAGGGATCCGGTGGTCATTTGGTCATTCAGTCATTTACCCGATCGCTACAGTTTCCCTGACGAAACTCTAAACCACACATCGGGCTCAGCCTACTGGATAAACACCCAAACGTGTTCCACTAAAATCCATAAAATAAGTCATTATTCCTCATTTCCCTGCTCTCTTTGTGGTGGAATGCTGCAATCGTTATTATGCACGGAAGAAATTAAACATTTTCCAGATTCTACCAAATCAATCATTTTTACTGTGGTTTAACACCGGCAGCCCATTATGTGTGGAGAAACGTGCACATTTTCCCCCAAATTGTTCCGCATTATGCCACGCAGTGTAAAATCACAAGGCCATAATATCAGATCACAAATGCAAAGTCAAATGTGCAACCGATTTACTGGCGCTATGTGTGTTTATCGACGGATTTCTGCAATTCCAATCGTTTTGGAATAAGGTAAGTGCCACCACTCAGTGACACGCCAGAAACACCTAAAGCCGCACCTTTGTCGCTGCGGTTGTTATGGAGTTGACTATTGCACGTCCAGATTCAGGTCATCATGTTACCACGAACGGATTTTTACCGAATCTGATCGACAAAGTTTGTTGATGCCGGTCGATCTGACGGGAAACTCTCTGGGAGCTAGATCTGAATCCATAGATTTAGGATTCATCCATCGATTAGGCAATACTAGTTATGGAAAGCACCAAGTAGCATGGATTTTCTTTGAATTGGATCGAAAAAGTGTCCAGTTCGGATGGTTTAGAACGAAATGAAGTGCCTGATATGAATTAAAGGAGCAAATGTGCGCATGCCTTCTATTTTTGACGCATTGCGATAAACTACACCGAGAGGAATTGGTTTAGACGAATGATGTCGAAAGTTGTTTGCTAGATTCATTAAGTTTAAAGTAGGAGAACCAAATTGGACTGCAACAGCAAACTTCAGCATACGAGCAGTAACAGGAGCTTTCTGTAATCTGAATATAATGTTTTAGACGCTGTCCATTTTTTTATTAGAGGTACATGAATAAGCACACCATGTTCTGGGATGTGTAGACATGTTTTCATTTTTGAGGTTGTTGATTTCGCTTAATCAATTTTGTGAACGTTCATTTTCCTGATTTTGTTTCCGTGTAAACTTGTTTATTTTATGATATCCCTCACGCGTCCCGGTACATATAATTGTTCAAAGACCTCCCATTCTAATCCTCTCCAAAAAATTATTTTTATGACGCTCTAATTTCCCGAGTATGTATTTGTAGTCGCGTAACTCAGCCATACATTTACTTTAAAAGCTTTTACTATGAACGGCATTACGATCTTAGTGACTTGTGTGATTCTCCTAACAAATTCTCCAGAAGCTGTTTGTAGCGTGGATGATGGTGGGAAGTAAGTATTATATTTTTGTGTACTTTATTAACGATTTGAGTCAGAATGGAGGGTGATGCAACTGCAATGCATTCTTTAGGGTTTAAGAAGTTGCGAAACTGCAGCCTATACGTCTTTTCCATTAACTAAATGTATAGGCATATTCGTGCTTGCAAATAAAGGAGACCACTGCTCAACTCATGTCATTTGTGATTACGAATGTTGTTGCTTCATCTTGCCAACGACAAAACAACAGCGGCATGTTGGTTATCTGTGGTTATGTTATCTATTATGTGGTTATTATCTATTGGTTATCCATCTGTGGTGTTTTGTGCGTCCGCTTGCTGTGCTGTGATGTGGGTGTAGGTGTATATGCTACGTTGCATACTTTGTATGCAAGCAACACCAACTCTCGCAAGTTTACGTGGTGTACCATCATTATCTCCCAAAGTAGCGGGGGAATGGCTGAGGGAATGCTACCTCCTGTGACAACCTGTGTACATGCCATGGCTGATGCATCCTGATGCCGTCATAAATTCAAACGTGATGTTTTAAAGGCCAAAAGACGTCCATTGCGTGTTCCATAGCTGTTAGCATAGTAAAACTGGTACAAGTAAGAATTATGACCTGACTTAAAAGTTGACTTGCTTAATTACCTGCACGTTAAATGGTAACATGCCAATCATTTGGGTATGAGGCGAAAACAATTTGAGCATCGATTTGAAGGCATGACCCGATGAAAACTCAAAATATTATCCAGTTGGCTGCTGCCTTTGGAATTGACACAGGACTGACGATGTTCAGGAGCGCGATAACATGTAGTGCAAAAAAGCATGTTGCAGGACGGCGGAAGCGGGTTTTCCATGTGTTTTCGTACCGACCTTTGAGAGGCCGAGGCCATAACCTGGTGACCTGAGGTAATGAGTATCTGAAGATTTCAGAGTTGATTTCGAAGCTCTTGCACTCAGGCAACATTCCTTTACAGCTCATGAAATGACCCTATGTAAATGTTTGCGAAAGCAAAGACAAATGCTAAACGTAGATCCAACGCTGGCAGGCGTTATTTTTGTGCAATAGAGTTTTAGAGAGGCTTCAAATACGTAAGTGGTTGTTTCTGTTATTGGGCTACACGACATACTCAGACGCTAAGGTTTTATGTATATGGCGTCTCTCTCTCTCTCTCTCTCTCTCTCTCTCTCTCTCTCTCTCTCTCTCTCTCTCTCTCTCTCTCTCTCTCTCTCTCTCTCTCTCTCTCTTCACGGGAAGAGCGAGCACCGCGATCAATCTAACCCGTACCTCAGACGAGCAGCTTCTCTGCTTAACTGTTGTGACCCAATATGCCAGCCGAGCAAGGCAGTAGCTGAACAACACAATGCAAAGCCATCCTCAGATCACGATTTATGTACCTTAACATGTATCGGAATCATTGATGACCTCTTTACAGATTCGACACGCTGGTGAGGACCCTAGACCTTCAGTCAAACGAAACTGCCAATGCTACCGAGTCGTCCAACTCGACGCTCTACCCTCCACCGACCACCATTCGACCGATGGCCGGCTTCACAGCCGAGGGGGCCTCGACGGGCAAGCCCTTCTACCCAGTCGAGTCCACGGCACCGCCGGGGGGCTCCGCCATGACGGGCGCCGCCAGCACCGAGCCTATGATCATCGTTGGCAGCATCATGCTGGTCGCCTGCATCGGCGGCGGCATATACTTGTGGCACCTGCGAAAGGTGAAGAAGGACGCAATGCCACCGGAGAGCGAGGCGGCGCCGGCGGAGGGCGCCGAGGACGAGAACTCTCCGGAAGAGGCGGAGGTGGAGCCGGAGGGCGAATAGCTCCGAGGCCAGCGCCGCTGACGAGCTTGAGCCGGCGGGATAGACGGACAATGTCGACACGGTCTCTGCACCCGCGCGTGAGATCACCACCGGCTGCTGCCCAGTCAGCCGGCAGCCGGGTCGTGTGGGACTGACGTGTCGGCGTGAAGAAGGCGGTCTTGATTCAACAGTGCGACCTCATGTTGGTGATTTATTTTTTACTGAAAAATCGTCGCACTTATGAAATGGACTGTACGGAGCTGCATCTGCAACGAAATAATACTGACCACAGCACACACGATCGAGAACAAAACAATGCCGTGTGTCGACACAATTGAGAATCACACACAAGTTATTACCAGACAACACGCATTACTTAAATCAAGAATGAGCTGACAGCATGAGATTCGTGTTCGCATTGCTGTACCTCGCAGCATGTTTCAACATGCGCACATCTCGGTACTCGAAAAACTCATTCCACATTGACTCGTTTGCGGAAATGGTCAAGCGTTGTTATCCCCTGTGAATGCAGCATCCGCATCACAGCTCGCATCAGCACGGACAAATCTCATAACACTTGTCGCACACATCACCGGGTGACCAGACGGCGTCGTAACACAGTCGACTGAAGGCTGCGAATGACCTGCGCCTTGCTATATCAACCTCGTAAAACCAGTGTGATGTCATTCGGCGCCATATTGCACTCTTATCGACGCGACTGTAGAATAATCAGTATGATAAAATACTGCATGCATTGGCACTCACGTATATCATGGAGAATAAGTTCTAGTAAAGGATTTCAAGTTTACCCGATAATTACTTTTATTCTCTAGACCACTTCATGCTGTCCTAGTAATGCCATGTAGCAGGCGATTTCCACGTTCAGGCCTCAGAGAAACCCCCGGCGATCCACGCACGAGTTTTGAACTGCAGCATCGCTCCATAGTTCACACAGGCCACACAGCGCCATCTACAGCGCCACCGACTCCACCACTTGACTAGGATTGGAGCCGCTGGCGCGCCCCTTGGTGGCGGGCGAGCTGTCGCGACTGGAGTCACCATTGACGCCTTGAAGCAGGGGTCTGTGCTGGGCGCGACTGTTGTTGAACGAGGCGCCGGCCGTGTCCGACATGGTGGTGACCAGCTCGCGCTTGCGGAGCGGCCGACGCCGCGAGCTCGAGCTCTCGCGCAGGCTGGCGTTGCGACCGAGGCGACACCTTTCGGCCTGGCCGGCCACGTGCACGGCGTCCATGCTGGCCATGCGGCCGACGGTGGAGCGTGCTGGCCGACCACCCTCCAGTCGACCGAGCAGCTCCAGTTCGGAGAAGGTGAGATCCGGCACCAGACTGCGCCGCTGCTGTCGCTCTGACCGGTCCATCTCGGCCACCAGCATCTGTACCTGCGGAGTCATCACAGCGCCTGTGACCGCCGGTGTGGCAGCTTTCCAGCAGTGCAAGGAACAAACCTCCCTTTACGGTTAATTCTTTCTATACGTCACAACGTTAACCTTTTACGAGATGTACGTGAGACATGGAACATGCGCACCCATGTTCTTTCGACTATGCCAGCGACGGGTGGTCATCGCCAACCGGTGGTATCGCCGGCTGCCCTAGTATTGGTAAGCGCCACCAGCAGCGCCACCAGCAGATAGTGCTAATAACCAGTAGCACCACCTAACTGTACCACCGACCATTAATGCTACCATATGAACGTGTCAATGACCAGAAGCGCTATCACACGACTGCACCACTGACCAGTAGCGCCACCACCTGACGGTACCACTGACCACTAGCGCCGCCACATGGCTACCACTGGCCGGTACCGCCACCGCAAGTATGTACCACTGACCAGCAGCATCACCACGTCACCGCACCACCGACCAGAAGCGCCAACACTTCACTTTACCACTGCCCAGTGGCATCGACACATGAATTACCACTGACAAGTAGCGCCACCACATGACTACCACTGACCAGTAGCGCCACCACATGCGGTGGTGGCGCTGTACCGCTGACCAGTAGCGCAGGCTCACGGGAGCAACATTAGGCTGAACAGCCAGGTCAACGGTAAAGACATTACAGCAGCGCTAGAGCCAGCCGGTAGAGTTTATTAGGTAGCATCCAGAGTTTGAGAGAACAAAGAACAAAGAAGGAAAATGTGCATTTACATTGAAGCCAAACCCGCCTGTCTTAACTGATTGTCACTAGCTCATATACAACACTGACAATATTTGACTAATTAATGGACGATGAAACGCGCCGTTGGCTTTTCTCCCTCCGCTTAGTCCGAAATGCACTGGGCTTTCCAGATTCTGGCAGCGCTACAATATGTTATAACCCCAGTTGTTCTCAGCATGTGATCAGATGGCCCTACCAACCACGCAAGAGAAGATTGCGGATAACATTACACCTAGAAAACTACGCACGCCTTATGGTTGTTAGGACAAAGTAAGTAGGGCATAAATTTCGCAAAGGAAAAAGTTCGTAATGCCAAGAGCACGTATGGATAAACATGATATGACAGAACATCCGTCAGGAAGAAATTTGGTAACACACATTTTCGTGCGCATAAAAGTTTGTATAAAAAAGTTACAAGCAGTTGCTGGCAGCCAAACGCTTCGGGCGCAAAATGTGAATGCTAGTCAAGAATATCCCTCGTTTCACACAAAAATATTATCAAAGGTTCGCATTTCAATATCTGATGGTAGAACATGAAGCTTGTACGAAAATGTTCGTCAGGGATGGAGTTTGTTTGACGATAGTACGCACGCAAAACTACACAAAACTGATGAGCGCTGAACGTTGAAGTGAAAATATTTATTCCTGGTGTCAGGTGCTGGATGAATGATCACCGTGGAGGCCACTGTATCCCGTTTACTAGGGAAAGGTGGTAGGCGATGACGGTGGAAGGTGACAAGGGTGTGGGTCTGGTCAGGTATTATGACTGACCCGACTCTTCATGACATGAATTTCACGCTCCGAGACGACCAGTAAATAAGCTAGAATCAATTGGCGTTGTGCAATATGATGCTGGGATTGAGGGCAATGTAGGTTAAGAAAACACACATAAAACATGCCCACTGCAGATCACCCACCCAGTTTGTTGTGCCCCTTCATTATCATTCACCCTGACGACGTCTCTATCAACGACGTCACCTGACACCTCCTGAGCGCACCACTAACGCCAGCTGACGGGTGCAACGGGTCAGCCCGCCTGCGGAGTACGACGGGCAGCGCGCCATGGGACAGCCGATATACGATTGCTTACATCAAGCAAATCGGACTTCAGAGTCACAATGATGCATCAGTTGCACCCGATTTGATGCATCGTCATTGATTAGGTCACTGTCTGCACCCGACACAACATTGTCCAGGAGCATCATTTATAAACCGCGCGCCGGATATAGCAGATATTACTCACTCGACATAGCTTAAACCATCCCAGGGAACCAAACTTCGGCGAAATTTAAGAGCCGTCGCTGCATAATGTGGTACCCTGGTGATCAGTCTGTACTGGAACACACCAAATAGAAGTATCGCTCACAATCCCAACTTCATTTTTCTCCATGCATCGCCTAGGCTTTATGTTCATCCTCGGAAAGTGGAGTGTACCCACGGCCACTGCCCACATGCCTACGCTGCTCAGAAACCTTTGCGTACGTATTTTCCTCAAACCACCTGTCCCCACTCTGCACATTTACGTACGTCTCATTGCTTACAAACGTTGTGTACGTTTTTGTGCATACGACATTTGTACAAAGAACATTTGTCCTGACGAACTTCAGTGGAAACGAACATTTTTCATACGTACTTGACATCATACGAGCGTTCACATACAAATTTTTGCGAAGTTCTTTTGCCACACGAACTTTATCCCTTATGTGCATTTATTTATTGACACTTTCGTACATACTTAACGCATACGCACTATTTCTACACAAACTTTTGTCCTGGAACCCACAATAGCAGTTTTCTTCTTGTAAACCCTGACGGCCATTTACTGAACTAACCTCCCAGTCGTTAGGCTGTCCGCCGGCAGAGGCGCTGGCGTCGGACGCAGCCTGATCGGAGTCGGACAAACCGACATCCACGACCGTGTGGTCCCGACTGCGGTTCATGAACTCCAGCTTCCACAGCTCGTCCGGCTGCATGTCCTCCTAGAACACGAGCGTGTGACTGTATATCTGCGGCAGGGCCAGATCAACCCTTCTTTCTGTGCTCTTCTCGCACTCCCTCATTTCAAAGTCCGGACAGACATCACACCAGCACGCCCCCATGCTTGCCAGGAACAGGAGGGAAAGGAGCTTCATTGTATGAGGCCCATGGCAATGGAATAGCCTTTTGTTAAGTCGATAGAACAATGGAGTTCAAGTGCTTCTTTGGACGTCATAAGATGATGTCTGCTTCTGCGTAGATTCAAAGCAGCAGGGTGCAAAGCATACTGTAAACACCGCGTTCGTGTTGTCTCGGGTGCGTTTATTAATGAATAGTGGCACCAATCCATGAACGGATAGCCAAAAACTCATTATGGCAATCCCTAACCGAATAATGAAGATTTCTTCATGTCGATCACTGACAAGATGGTCAAGAATTGGTCATGACAATCCCTGACGAGATTCCTAGGATTTCTATTCCTTTTCTTTTAGTTAGTTTAGTTTAGTGGTTTAGTTTAGGAATTTAGTTTTGACTAGGATTTCTAGGGAATCCTATCCAATGACTGATGGTGTCATTCTCTGCCCGGATAATCAAGAACTGATCTTGTCGATTCCTGACCGGATAACCGTGTCAATCAATGAAACGGATAATTGGAACTAGATACGATCTCTGAGAAAAAAGAGCATGCGGGAGCTTTTGTTTTACTGTGTTGTATCCATCTAAAAACACACTAGTAAATCAATATTTTTGAATGATGTGGAAGGAGAGCGACATGAAGTATGCCACACACAATAAAACTATGACAAAAAGAATGCGCCAATCACTTCTAGCCTTAGCTGATTAGACAAAATAACCAATAATTTAGGTAACATATCGGAACATTAACCAGGACCTATAATGAGGCTGTAGTGTGCAGCCATTCACGCAACATTATTGCATTTCACAATACAAGCTATGTAATGGAAAGCTTACGCATTCAGGTGAACCATAATTGACACCTAACAGAACATATTTAAATTTTATTTGTATTCATATTGAGCCGTGCCCAAGCATGCCTTTCACCACTCTCATCTGAGACAATTCCTTGAACAGCTGGGCGCCAGACCCCGGTACATGTCCGAGCGCCATCGCGATGGCGCCCGAGTATCACGCCGGTGCTATAGCGATGGAGCCGATGCAGCGGCACAAATGCGTCAGAGACTGGTTTCGTGGACATTGGCAGGATTATTTGACGGCCATTGTTTCCTGCCGGGGAATATTGTTTACGCGGGTGGATGGATAGGATGCGTGCGGCTTTTTCGTTTTCCAACTCATATCGAATTTGAAAATCATGAGGAAAATAAAAGCCAACTTACTGGAGAGTGCACATGTAATCCCCATTAGAGCCCACAAACATTGTGGGGGGGGGGGGGGGGGGGTAGGTAGTAGAAATGGAGATGGTGTGGGCCTAGGAATGTATGAAGTAAGCATGAGGAACGTAGCAAGTAAAAGTATGTTCCGGCACACAACAAAAGGATACTTCGTGAACATTTGCACATAATATTGCAATTGTTTTCTTCAGATTGATTTTACATACATCTGGATGAAATGGCAACATTGGCTGATTTCCAACAGAAATACCTTGTGGAATTTTTAAGAGCGCATCGCCGCATGCTTTGAGGAGGATGCACAAGTAACATTCTTCGCCAGACGTTACGCTATTTTGGATTATTCTTTAAACTCAGCGTGTATTAGCGGCAAGCCATCTTCCAAAAACATGACGGGATTGTCCCATGGCCCCTGATAAACGTTGACTGTGGGGGGGGGGGGGGGCACTTGCTAGTCAAAGAAAATGTTTTACCAAGCAGAGGATGTTCTGTAATCTAAGGTCATGAACTTACACAATTCTTTCCGGCAATGATATGGGCGAGTTGCGAACTATCCTTGAAACTTAAAATCGGGCGATGCGCACAACGACGTCACACCTTCATAGCGGAAGAAACGCAAAAGCGCACGTCACGCCTCACGCATTCCATCTGACCCATGACCTCTTCAGGCCGATGCATCGAGAAGAACCGCGAGTCCGACGTATCCTTACCAGCTTGGCTAGATATAAGTGAAGCACAATAATAAATAACAATAATAAATGCAAACTTGCCAACCTGCATGCGCAACTAGGGAATAGCGTCGTATTTGCAGCCACCTCATGCCTACGAAATGCAATAGGGCTGATACTGGGAGCACGCTGTGTCACCAATCGGGATCTTTTAGTGGGTTCAGCGAACATTTGAGCCTACGGTCTCACACCAGACTCTACGAGTCAGGATCGATCAAAGCAAGGGTCATGGAGCTAGGGTGGACAGTGAACATAAGATCTGCCGTAAAAAGGTACATATTTTCCAACAGTACAATTTGGAGGGGGCATGACACATCTGAGTCTGGTCATGATCGGCATTGCCAGCTATTACGTACCATACTATCAATCAATTAGATCGCAATAAAGCCAAGAGCCATGCTGATTGCCAAGTCAGGCGCATTACTGCTATGCTTTCCTAAACATACCGGAAAATACCACAAGATCAAAAATGTATCAGAGATTATGTGACAAACACTCGGAAGACAGATTTGGTCGCCTTATCGGCAGCAGAAGGTCCGTTACAACTGAAATCCGTATATATTGCGCGGGTCCATTAAGACTCGAAGCAACATAATGTTGACAATTGTCCCGCTGCAGCTGACTTCGAAACGGCCCATGCCACGACACAAGACCACGCCAAACATGTTACAACATCATCGCAATCCCGTGTGCAGCCAACAATAGCTGCATCAGCCGAAAAATGAAACGATGCGAACACCCGAACACAACTACTCAAGGCGATCACATACTCTTCCACAACGGTTGCGACTTGCGAGCGGTCGACCGTGCCTCCTCGAGACACCTGTGCCCAACGCCTCCACATCACCCGCGGGGCGTAAACAGCACAACACGGCAGGCGCGAGCAAGCAGATGCCTCAATACAGAGGTGGCACGAGCGGGGGTCACGCCGCCGCCGCCGCCACTGCCGCCGCCGCCGCCTGCTCCCGTGCGCTCACCACGATACTGGTGCGGCAGTGCCACGACTGGCGGGCCGGCGCGGACCCGGTGTCGGCCGCCTCCTGCTCGTAAGGCCACGACTTCTGCCGCGGCCGACACGGGTCAAGCCGCGGCACGACCGAGTCCACCGAGTCCGACCTCTGGCAGACACAGGACCGCGGCACGCGCTGTGAAGTCTGGCAGACACAGGACCGCGGCACGCGCTGTGAACTCTGGCAGACACGGGACCGCCGTACGCGCTGTGGCAGACACAGGACCACGGCACGCGCTATGAACTCTGGGAGACACAGGACCGCGGCACGAGCTGTGAACTCTGGCAGACACGGTACGGCCGCACGCACTGTGAACTCTGGCAGACACGGAACCGCAGTACCCGCTGTGAACACTGGCAGACACAGGACCGCGGCACGTGCTGTAAACTCTGGCAGACACAAAACCGCGGCACGCGCAGTGAACTCTGGCAGACACGTGACCGCGGCATGCGCTGTGAACTCAGGCAGACACGTGGCCGCGGCGTGCGCTGTGAGCTCTGGCAGACACGTGACCGCGGCATGCGCTGTGAACTCAGGCAGACACAGCACCACGGCACGCACTGTTAGCTCTGGCAGACGCAGGACCGCGGCACGCGCTGTGTAGTTAAAACTGTTCTTAAAACTGGACTGCTTCTGTAATTGGTCTTTCGCCTGTGGAATGCTTATGACATAAATCAACAAATAAACAATAAACTCTGGTGGACACGTGACCGTGGAACACGTTGTGAACTTCAGGAGACGCAGGACCGCGGCACGCGCTGTGAACCCTGGCAGACACAAGACCGCGGCACGCGCTGTGAACCCTGGCAGACACGAGACCGCGGCACGCGCTGTGAACCCCGGCAGACACAAGACCGCGGCACGCGCTGTGAACCCTGGCAGACACAAGACCGCGGAACGCGCTGTGAACCCTGGCAGACACGAGACCGCGGAACGCGCACTGATTTCTGGCAGACGCAGAACCGCGAAACACGATGTGAGCTCTGGCAGACGCAGGACCACGGCATGCGCTATAAAGTCTGGCAGAGTTTAAAACGCATCTCACTAGCGCGCTTGTCACCTCTGACAGGGATGGGACGGTGATGAGCGCTGTAACATCTAGCAGGCAAGGCATGGTGACACGCTCCGTGACCTCTGACAAACAAAGGACCGCGACATACGCTGAGACATCCACTAGCCACAGGATGAGACACACCCTGACATCTGACACAAGTGGCACGGTGACCGGAACGGCGGAGCGGGCAGCCATATCTGCCAGAACCGATGCTGTGACACGCGGCGTGCTCTGTGACCCCTGCCAGCGCTGGTCAGTGCCACACTATCTGGTATCTGGCCCACGCACGACGATAACATTCCCTGCGACCTTAGGCAGACAACGCCACGAGACGTTGGCACTTTCTGTAATCTCTGGCAGGCACCAGACAGCAATATTGTCTCTGCTCCTCCCCCCCCCCGAGGAGGTAGACGAGCAATCACCGCCGACGACATACGTTTATCTCAGCCTGCCTGTTCGGAGCTATATGGCCATTCACAGCCGCCTGGCGCGTCCGGGCTATTGTCCGTAGGGCTGAAAAACTGTCTCGAGTTGGGAGCAAATAGGGTTTTGTCACTCTCCACAGCATTGCCCGTAAAATACCCGTTTCCTGGGTATTGCCTGTAAAAATAAAACATCCCACCCTGATCCTGAGGTAGCACTTCTTCATCCCAACCTCTGAGAGGCTGATAGCCCCATGAGCAGCGCACCAACCTTACAACATAAACCCAACACGGCGCAAAGGTTTGCACCGCGCCCCACGTAGCCTTATCCGTTGCGCAAATGACATCTGCTGCAGCGGTCTGGCAATAGCCCCATGTGGCCCAGACCGCCCGTTGGGCAGCCATCGGCGGCCATCTGGCTCGAGCCGCGGCGGCCGGCAGATGCTCTCTGGTCCGCCTGCCACCCCAATAAACCGGCGTCCGACGAGCGTCGAGGCTCGGCCGACAACAGCTCCTCACGATTTATGGCAGCGACGGCCGGAGCCGTGCGGCGGAGCCGGCGGGCGTCCGGCCGGCGCCCGCCGTCAGACGGCGGGCCACCCGGCTCAAGCGGCCGCCCGGGCCCTCCGGTCACAGCCGACCGCCGGCCAGGGGGCGGCACAGAGGTCCCGCTGGACGGGGGACTATGACCGCTCTGAGCCGCGCGAAGCGGGGGTCGGTCTGAGATAGCGCCGGCACGGCAGCTCCTCCGGGCTCGACAGCCGCACTGCCGCCGAGTTCTCACCGTGAAGCAGGTCTGGTCACTGGTGCTGTCTGGCGAGGACGCTGTCTCGCTGGAGGCGGGCGTCAGCTCCTGCCGGAGGACCCTGCACGTGAGCGCCACTCGCCCGAACTACGTAGGGACTATGCGAAGGCGTTCTCAGTGATGCTTCCGAAACCACCACTAGCTAGTTTAATCACCGGCTTCCGTCTTTGAAGCGCTGTTGAATAAGGCGCAGAATCAAGTGGCGCCAGATTTTTCTTCGGGCGGAAGGGGGGGGGGGAAGGGGTTGCCATCAAAGTATGTGTCGGCTAATTGACATTCCGCCGTCGTCCAGGGATTTCCGCGGCCCAGCCACCACCGTATTTATGCTGCTTAAGTAAATATGGCGCCGGGGTCGGTGGGAGTGCATCACATTCATCAGAGAATTTCTTTTACATCCTCATCCGCTTCCGTGGCTTTCGTGGAAACGCCGTGAATACCAAGCGACTATCAAGACGCGTCAGCGTCGGGCACGGGGGTCACACCGTCGCCGGGATGAAGTCACAGCTGGTGTTGAAAGCACACTTGAAAAGAGTCGCGGATCATGCCGCGCTGAGACTTATGGTGGCGACTTACTCAGCTTCCGCAAACGCCTGGGCGCAAAAACGAAAAATGCAGCTGGCCAAGCGAACATCAAATGATGAAATTATGGGAGGAAATTACGTGATGTTACTAGCCCCCTATTGTTGTTACCGTTACCAGCCTGTACCGACACACACAACTGTGTTTATGAGGGAGAACGCGGGTCAAATGAGTCGGATCCGTTGATTTCGGAGCGTTTTTAAAGACTGATTTCAGATCTCGGCGACTAAAGTAGACGAAGACGTGAAGCCAAACGCACGGTGTCAGCAAATGTACCGGCTTTATCCCACTATCGGATATGAAGGCCTGTCCGACTTCTCGCTGCGTAAGTAATCGACCAGAATCGACACTTCCACCCTTCCAGAAACTGGTTTTGAATGCGGGACGCTGGAACCAAACTGAGACCGATCTGACGAGAAGAGCTACACAGGCCCGTGACCACGTGCATTATGACCACCATCTGCCGAGAATATTGATGTGCCAAAACCACAGATGATAGCCAGTTTATCGATAACGATTGAATACTCTAACCGGACTAGCAGCCGGCCATTTGTAAAAGCGATTTTAGTTGCGATCAATGTGCAAATTCCGCTTAATTGGCCCTCCGCTAGTTAAATTCTCACCAAAGGCACACCTTCCAATTCACTAATAACATCCATTGGCATCGGTTGCCGAGAGCATGGATGGAAACGTGTTCTTCTTGTGGCTGACCGAATTTTTGCAGATAAAATTGTCGCCAGCAGCGCAGCGCAATACCACATGACAAAATGGTAATGAAGTCCATGCCCAATGACGTCATCAGAAATCAGCCTATCATCGAAAGCCTCCTTCATTACAGCAATTTGCAGTACCATGCACGCAACCAAAACGCTCAGTTATGCGTTGCCCTTTACTTTATGTTAAACTAGGTGCTGTTCCTAGGAAAGCAGGTATGCCGGCCTCAGACTGTGGGATAGCCGAATCACAACAGCAGATTTCTCCCAGCCTCGGGACTTGCCGAGGTCTCACGTTCAACACGCGCCCGGGTGGCCGGTTGGATACCCTTCGCTCGGGGTGGGGGTCATTTTGACCGCCTGAGGTCTCAGAAACTAGGAGAGCTAGAGACACAAAATTTACAAAGTGTGTTGGGCTGTACCTGAACTCAATCAGGTCAAAGTTTAAGGTTCCTAGGTTATGAAATTCGGGTCAAATAACATCAAAAAATGTCAACCTCCAGATTGGTCTCCAAAGTGCCCCCAGTACCTAGACATCTGTTCTAAACAAAAGTTCACATGATCATTTAAGGTCAGTGGCCTGTTCGTTTCGTTTGACCTTTCGAAGGTCATGGTGACCAAGATCCTACAAGACTGCTTTGAGTTTTGCATTTGAATAAGCGACAAACACTACGTTATTCACTATGTTCCGAAACAAAATGTTGACCTGGGCCATTTTAGGTCACTGTCCTATTATGAACTCTGAGACGTACATGAAAGATGCATAATGTGATTCCTGTTATCAATCAATTCGAAATGGGCCCCAGAAATTACCCCATACATCAGGCCTTAGAGTACTAAAACAGATTGACTTTGACCTTGGTCTGACCTTCAAAACTCACCTTAAGTCAATGGACTTCGCTCATCCAATTGTTGCGTTGCTTAAGGAAGTATCTCAGACATGTATGGTCTCGTCTAACACTCCGTTGGTGCATCAGATTAAACGATTCTCCAGAAATTGACTTCGCAGAATCCATGGCCTGACTTTGACCTACTGTAGGTCAGCGATCTTACAAGGTACATCCACATTTTCTAAAACCAAACGATTCGCCATTTAATGTTCAACGTCTTTGCAATATTTGGCGTGGCTGCGCCACGCCGCTCGGAAGCCATTATGGAAAAACCTTGATGGGGGTCAATTTGACCCCACCCTAGCGCATGTTCAGCTCGGTCTACGGCCGAATTTACTTCGCTCGACCGCGAAAAAACCGAAGGACTTCAACAGCCAGCGCAGCTGAATGCATGGCAGATTTCGAACCAGTGGCAAGTGACACTGGAAATAACGTCAAATATGGCGGCCTCTAAGAGGCCATGCCCTTTTATGAAAATAACGTGTGCGCTTCGAGCCCCGTTTCAGCCGTCATCAAACTCTCCACCGTACCTTAGGCATGCTCCAAGCCTGGTACGACATGTGTTGCCTAGCGGGCGCCTTTCGCTGTGTCCAAACAAGTCCATTATATTGAGATATGTTACGAACTCCACATCAGGCTGCTAGTTCGTTGTGAACAAGATACTCGCCCGGAAAGGCGGGCGAGGGGGGGGGGGGGAGGCGGTGCTACTCCACAAGGTTTTCTGAGGATACCAGCCACACATATTGTGTGGCCGCGCTCAAATCTTTGGTACCCCCTGGGGCATCTATTGTGCGTGTGAACACCAAAAAATGTGTTCCTAGCGTTTCTGGTTACCGAGCAGCAATGGTTTTACGAGTTCTGCGAGACGATCCAAAACCGGTGGGGGCGGCGGGTGGCAAGGGACGATTCCGCTGATCGTGCGCGGAGAGCTGACACTGTTACGTTAACGAAACTTTACATGATAAGCATGGGTTCAAACAGACAAAATATATACCACTGTGATGATGAATAAGCGAGGAGCACGCCTCTTTATGTTCCACGTTTTGGTGCCGCATGGTTTCGTAAATATGAATACGCAAAGCTGGAATCATTTGAATTTCAGGAGCATTTGACCTTAGACTTGGTTTAGTGGGGTCAATCAGCAGTATGATAATTTTAATAATAGCGAGACCTTGTTAAAGATAATTCTCTTTTTTCTCCGCGAGGCTGTACCCCTATCAGTTTGCAAAGGATAGGGGGTCGCTCCCCCATCAGTCAGCCTTATGAAAACCTGCGATTCAGGGTAAGAGTTGATATTATTGCGTACCATCAGTTTACGTGCCATCTACATACCATACTTTTTACTGTACATATGCGGATATAAAAATTGTCGTTTCAGATCGTGAAAAATCGGCTGGTACAGCAGAACTAACATTTTGTTACCAACATCCAAACATTAGTAGAAATTCGACCGGCAAGCCAAAATCGACCTTCGCACGATAAGTGCCTCACAAATCTTAGCTTACTCGTAATATTTACCATGCATAATGCAGAAGTCCTAATTTTGATTAATTTCTGGGGCCCTACCCAACACCCAAGTTGGGTTGAGTTGAGTTGAGTCAATGCTGGTTCCTCCTCCCACACAACACTTCTGGCTGGAAAATTTTTTAAAAAAATATATGAAAATTCCAACCATGACACAAAACCTATGTTCTCTGGGCTTTATTCATTGAGCAGGGGCCCGTGAAATGCTACCTCCCATAATCATGCAAAAATTGACATGCCTGTCCTCATGCCACCACCACACAAGCTATATTGATTTCACGATCAATGCAGGTTGCATAAAAGGTGTGCTGTCTGCGTTCACAACCGGTGCTTAGTTTATCAAGTCATTATGCTAAGGATTCGATCAGGACAATTTTCATTTCAGTGTTCGCAAAAACAATGATGAAATATATCACATTTCCCGCCTTGCAAATGCCATGCTCACAGTACAAGGCGGCTATGCATATGAATGAACACTGTGGCATGACTGATTTTCAGAGATGTCCCATTTCAGTAGGGATGCCATCATCAGTAATAGCCAACATTGTCCTCAGCGATAACGAAATATCAGTATTTCATTAAACTCCCATGACAACTGGACCAAAATACCACAAGATCTCTTGCTATTTGGAGTAAAACTCTTGGTAAAGGGAAGATGACAACGGAACCTGCACCCCAATGCCTCCTCATCGCCTACATTTGCTAAACCAGCTAACCCCTCACTTCTCACTGCCTTCTCATTGCCTACATCATTGGCTATCATATACATTTCCAGCAACTAAGACTCATATTAACAAAAGGTTGAACTGTAAACAATTGTTTAAATGCTAACAAGACGTTGATAAAATAGTTGCATTTCAGGCAGCGGCATAGTTTTTGAAAATAAGTTAGGAGAGCATTGAAAACTTATGCGATCTATCCTCCAAGTAAGGTTGTCTCCCAGATTGGCACACTTTTTCACAAACTTAGGAGGAGGTTAGAGCCCTGAACTGAATAGGAAGCTAGGAACACCCCTGATCTGCAGATCTATGCGACTGGTAGCCATTCTCAATTAGTACAAGAACAAAAATGACATAAATTGACGCTTAAGACCATCTTTAGCTCCCGTCACTCCCTTAATGAGGCATGCCATGGGCCTTCAACATCAAACCCACGAATGTTTTCCTAGGGAGAACGGCTGGTCGCTTGTTACTGCTACAATGAGTCAGCACCCTTTTCGGTGTCTTGAGAAGACAGTCTGGATAATCACAGATCAATTTCTGCCGCGACCGGATCATCTCGTCCATTTGGCCTGAACTGTGAATGCCTCTCATCGCTGAGAACAGGATGCTGAACTACAGCACGCCAACAAAGTATACGCGGCCCAAAAATTAAGCCCCAGGCAGGTATTCACTGACACAGTAATGCGAATGCCGCTTGCAAAGTCGCAGCGTAATGAAAGCCGGGCAATACAACACTATTGAAAGTCACCGCCCACCTCATATCAGTCGCTTCGCAACGACTGAAGCATGCCCCTGCAGCCAGATGAGTCCCCATATCTAGATCTCTTTCAGTATTTTGTGCTGTCTAGTTTGGGACCCTGAGAGTCGGCTGGTAAGAACAGCGACTTGGCCGGCTGGCCGGGCCATAGAAAATACACTGATTTGTCGCTGACCTGTCACTGAGCCGAGCGACCAACTAGAAATTATAGATTTTTGTCGCCGGGTTGGGATGAAGCTCATGACAAGATTCCATGGTGCACTGTAGGATACGGTAAGAGCATTTACGCAAACGTTTGCCCGTGTTCTCTATTATCTCAGATTTCGGCATCATCTAGCCAAAAACAGTAGGCAACTCTCACCTTCGTCATCGCCCGTCTCTCAGCTGTCAACTTGGGACGGTACGACACTGCCTGGTTGCTGAGCAGCTTGGCGATATTGTTCGCCAGACCAAGCGTAAAACTTCAGTGGTGGCACATTGCGACCCGAACTTTGATCTCTGTAATGCGTTTCTGGCGTGCAACGAATAAATCCCCAGCACATAACGGCCAGCATGATAGTAGCATAGTGAACAGGCATTTTGGAGATTCGGGTTCGAGCCTCGGGGGTGAACCCACATTTTACGCTCCATGTGGTGAACAATATCGCTGAGCTGCAACGCTTGCATGCAATTCTGGCTCATCAAAGCTTTATAGCTGAATAATATCAAACCGAGCTGTTTATCGGGCCACGTCGTTCTTTTCAACGTGCGGAGTTTGATCAATTCGATCAAGGAACAGCATTAGGCTCCTGAAGTTATTATACTGTTAATACGGATAAAAACACTATAGATACGCAACGACAGTATCCAACCTTTGATGCATCAAGAGGTCCTGCTAGATTGTCTTTAACTTAGCAAATGGTCCCATTGTGAGCCTTAAGCGTTGACATGAGCAGTGCGAATAACTACTAATCTGCAGGGGGCAGACGTACCATTGGCGACTAGCAAACTGGGTTTAATACAACTGCAAAAGGAAGCCTGCCTTAAGACAGCGGTTGAGAACACTGCTCGGGAATGGGGATTATCACAGTCAAGTTGCTGTGCGCAAGAGGGCTTAAACGTTGAGCTGATGGTAACAGGCGTGTAGACGTCAGCGGTCACTGCGATTAGATATATCAATATCCATCACGCCTCAGAAAACTGACTGTTTAGTAAACATCGGACTGTGTAAGAGCGGCCATGACATATGTAAACGGCGATAGTGACACGGAAATGGCGCCGAGAGCATCGCTCGAGGGAAGGACACGGTGCGCTGAGTATGACACGGCGAAGAAACTTGGGTGCGGGCCTCCGATGAGCCTTACATAGCCCTAACGGTAGTGCAAGCATTAATGACTGTTAATCACGAGCCAAACGCATGGCGCATGAAGCAGTCACATAGGGTTTGCCATAAAGAGGAAAGCGACGTAAAATGCATTAAGTGTATGAGTATGCTTCCCGTCCGAAAGGCTTTGTTGCGACAAACTTTCTTTTCCGAGCTCACTTAGATCAAAACCCGTCCATCTCGAAACGACAGCAGAATATTGTCTTTAAACAAGACTTCTGGCTGCCGCTTGCAAAATAGCTCACAGCCTGCAGGATTCAATGGAGATGGTGCCATTAGCGTAGTTACTTCACTTGACACTGCCACCATGCCCAGATCTCTGTCTCATTTGACACAGCTGCCACAGGCAGATCCCTTTCTCACCTGACGTTGTTGCCGTAATCTCATCCCTATCACATCTGCCACCTTTGTGGGCACATCCAAATCTCACCTGACATGGTTGCCATAAGCAGATCCCTTTCTCACCCGGCGTTGTTGCCTTGATGAGACCCATATCTCACCTGACACTGCTGCCGTAATCCCATCTCAGTCACACCTGCCACTGTTGCCATAATCACATCCATATCTCACCTAACGCTGTTGTGAGCAGATTCCATCTCACCTGACACTGTTGCCGTGAGCAGATCTCCTGGAGAATGCGGTCCCGCTCCTTCATCTCGTTTTCCAGAGACTCCATCCGGGCATTGAGCGATTCGTGGATTTCCGTCTGTGGCCACAGTCACCAGACTCAAGTCACAATCCCATCACCAGACTTAGTTCACAACCATATCATCATATTAAAGTCATATCCACATCTCCTGAAGAGATCAGACACAGGTTACACCAGCATCATTAGACTCGGGTCTCATCCACATCCCAGACTCGGGTCACATCTACAACATCAGATGCGGGTCGGACTCAGGTCGTATCCACATCCCCAGAGGCGGGTCACACCCACATCCCCAGAGGTGGGTCAGACTCAGGTCACATCCACATCCCCAGAGGCGGGTCACACCCACATCCCCAGAGGTGGGTCAGACTCAGGTCACATCCACATCCCCAGAGGTGGGTCAGACTCAGGTCACATCCACATCCCCAGAGGCGGGTCACACCCACATCCCCAGAGGTGGGTCAGACTCAGGTCACATCCACATCCCCAGAGGTGGGTCAGACTCAGATCACATCCACATCCCCAGAGGTGGGTCAGACTCAGGTCACATCCACATCCCCAGAGGTGGGTCAGACTCAGATCACACCCACATCCCCAGAGGTGGGTCAGACTCAGGTCACATCCACACGCCCAGAGGTGGTCAGACTCAGTCACATCCACATCCCCAGAGGTGGGTCAGACTCAGACACCCACATCCCCAGAGGTGGGTCACACCCACATCCCCAGAGGTGGTCAGACAGGTCACATCCACATCCCCAGAGGTGGGTCAGACTCAGTCACATCCACATCCCAGGGAGTCAGGCCAGGTCACATCCACATCCCCAGAGGTGGGTCAGACTCAGGTCACACCCACATCCCCAGAGGTGGTCAGACTCAGGTCACATCCACATCCCCAGAGGGGTCAGACAGTCACATCCACATCCCCAGGTGGGTCAGACTCAGTCACATCCACATCCCCAGAGGTGGGTCAGACTCAGTCACATCCACATCCCCAGAGGTGGTCAGACCCAGGTCACACCCACATCCCCAGAGGTGGTCAGACTCAGGTCACACCCACATCCCCAGAGGTGGTCAGACCAGGTCACATCACACCCACATCCCCAGAGGCGGGTCAGACTCAGATCACACCACCCACATCCCCAGAGGTGGGTCAGACTCAGATCACATCCACATCCCCAGAGGTGGGTCAGACTCAGATCACATCCACATCCCCAGAGGCGGGTCACATCCACATCCCCAGAGGTGGGTCAGACTCAGGTCACATCCACATCCCCAGAGGTGGGTCAGACTCAGGTCACATCCACATCCCCAGAGGTGGGTCAGACTCAGATCACATCCACATCCCCAGAGGTGAGTCAGACCCAGGTCACATCCACATCCCCAGAGGCCGGTTAGACTGAATTGGGAGCATGTTACCGGAAGTGGGTCAGACTGGGGTCATGAACCCGTCCCCGCCGGTGGACTGGTCTCGACGCGTACCATGTTAGACCATCGGTGAGAAATGTACTGTTGTTGAGCACTGACTTGCATTATTCAAACCATCTAAGGTAACTTGAATAAGGTAACTTTTGGTTACCTTCAACATCAGGGAGAATTTTCAAAGACAGAAAAAGCTTGAGGTAAGTTTCTGTGGTCGACAAAGTGTTCAAGCACCTAATTAAATATTACGAACCATGTAATAATGACAATGGCAAGGTCCAATTTTCTCTTCAGATATTTGTATGTGCCTTGATAGGCACATGCAAATGTGCAGCTTCTATGTCATTCAAAAAAACTCTCCGCTTTTATTTTTATATGCGCCACATGTTTTTGTAGTAACTATGTAATATTTCACCATGAGCATTTCGATGCGTAGCAATTTAGTCAATAGCTGAGTACCCAAACGGCCTACAAACCCTTCGATCATGATTACAAGAGACGTAAGTACGTAGCGTAAAATGCTAATTGACTAAGTAAACGATCGATGATTGTTTTGACTGCTTGGCTCTCTTGGTACCATTGCTTCGTTTCATCGCCTCAAATAGACCATACATCAATGTACAACGGTGGGTGTGGAGAGGTGAGTGGAACATGCATTTATTGCCTTTGAGAGAAATTATCTCTAAAGAATCAGCTAGTGCCAGCGAATCAGGAGCATCCGGTATCAGCAAATATTATCTTGGCTGAACTCATTTAGACAGAAGCCTTTTATGTTGGATAATGCAGAGCCGGCAGGGTTGGCATTGCGCTCCATTTTTTTCTAATTCCACCATCAGGCGTCAGCCAAGCGTGAGCTGCCGGCTGTGTTATCATGTGGACGGCACTTCCCCCTCCCCCATCACGTTCCGCATCATCATGTTGCCGTCGCCTATATTCGATGGGCCTGATGTTCAGCACTCACGGCAGCTGATGAGAGGCCGCGCCCACCCGGCTGTCTCTGCCTTCTGCTCATGCATATCCCAATGCTTCAGGCGTCATGGCGGCTTTTCAGACACATTTCCGGTGTCGTCATTGCTGTATAATCTATAGGGGCGTGAGAGTAACGGCCACTGTTGTCGAAAGGCGCATTGCCAAAAGGCGCCCGCGTCCGGCCGGGCCGTCGTGCTTTATTTCCGACGCATCGGTCCGGCCCGAAGGTCGAAGGCTTCGGCGTTGGGGGTTGCAAATGGCCAATGAAATCCACTGATAGGCCCTGACAGCACCCACAAATGGGGAAGGCGAAACGCCCGACTGCGGCCGCCTGGCGTCCACAGTGCTGAGAGCGAGCCACAGCGAGGGGGGGGGGGGGGGTTCAGCGGGGTCTAGCTGCAGAGTTGTGCATTTGCACAGAGAACGGCCGAAGGTGAACCACCCCAATGTTTGCCGGTTTGAAAGCTGCTGTTTGTAGACCTTCGCGATGGAAGTCCAGCAAAATGTTGAGTGTTGAGCAAAGAATGCTGTCTGAAACGGAGTGGCTTGCTCGCAGTGTTATGGATAATGCGGGATGATTTGAGGAGTGTCAGGGCGACACATGACAGCCTGGTGATGGCCTGAATGACTGTGTCAGCTGGCATGTGAAGCTGTGCATGACGTGGCAGCGCCATCTGGGAGAAGTTCGTGCAATACGCTAGCAGGGTAAGAACGCAAGCTCAATTAGTGCATCCAGACAACAGCGCAAAGTAGAAAGTTGGTTTCAGAAGTCGGACATACTGTGGAGCCCATCCCATGTCGCATCTTGGGTCGGTTTAGATATTTTACGCCATGTCCTTGACAGCACGGTCCCCGGCCTGGCAGCCCGCCTTCACCGAACAACGTCAGCTGTCACTGGCACGCAGCAACAGCCATCAATCGAACGACGCCGCCAAGGACGCCGCGAGGTTTAGCTGCAGCATGTGGCACGAGCACGGGGCGGCCGAGCCGCCTCTCACGGCTGGCAATAACTCCATCGGGAGATTGCACAGCAGCCCGAAACTCACCAGCTTCTCGTGGAGCAGGCTGCGAATCTCGGCGAGCAGGTCGCCGGGCGGGCTGGGCGCTTGCGCCTGAGGCGTCTGTGACGTCACATCGGGCAGCATGTCCCGCGAGGCAGGTCACCGAGCCCGGCGGCGTCGTCTGGTTGAACGACACCGACTTGATGAAGTTGCGTTTACGCGCCAGGTAGCCCTGCACGCTGGACTCGGCCACCGGCGGCGACGTGTCGACCGAGCCGCCCAGCCGGCGCAGGATGCTCTTGAGGCCGCGCCGCTGCGACGTGTCCGAGCCGGTGGGCGAGCCGACCGACGGCACCGAGCCGTGAATCACGTCGCTGATGCTGCGCCCGTCGCAGCGAAACACCGTGTCATCAGCTGCGCGGCGCGACGGACTGCTGAGCGGGTTGGTGAGCGGGTGCGAGGGCTCGGCTGGCCGCGCGGCGCGCGGCGAGCCCTGAGACTCACCGCCGGCTCCGTCCCCGCCGCCGGCGGCGAGGGCGGGGGCGGGCGCGGGGGCGGGGGCGGTGGGAGCGGGGGCGGTGGGGACGGCGACGGTGGAGACGGCAGCGTTGGCGGTGGCAGCGGCAGAGCTGGGGACGACGGCGGCCTCGCAGTCCGGGCCGACCGCAGCGGTCGTCGGGTTGCCGACCGTCTGCGTGGCGGCGGACATGCTGAATGCAGCAGCGGCCGTGGCAGCCGGCGTCCACATCGGCCGCCGCCTCGCCGCGGCAGCGGCTCTGCAGCAGTTTCAGCACGGGCGGGCACTTCCTGAGGCCGCTTCCGCGCCGCTGCTCGGCGGGTCGCGGCTCCGGCTCAGCGCGCTCGTCGGCGGCCGACCTCGCCTCGCGCTCGCGCAGCAGCCGCAGCCGCTGCAGCAACGGCAGGCCGGCGCCCAGCACCTCGGCCGGCGGCGACGCTTCGGCCGGCTCGGCCGGCGGCGGCGGCGACAGCGGGCTCTGTTGACTGGTGCCCACTTTCCGACGCCTGGCAAGCGGTGACACTGAGGTCAGCAGAGCGGCCGGCGCTGCAGCGGCTGCAGACTGTGGCAATGCCCACTGAATGACATTGTCCCGCGTGCTCCGCAACGCTGCGGCAGTGATTGGACAGATAGTTGGTGGAGTGCGGTCGAGTTGTTCACTAACATGTCACTGTGATTGTTACCGGTGCGGTGTAAGCATGTTATTTGTGTTAGCATGTCGTTCTCAATAGTGAAAATTTGGCGGGCATATTCTGTTTCTACTTCCTAGATGATGCTAAGTGGCACATGATTGGTACCTGATGCACGTCATTGCTTGGTGGCAAGGCCAACCCGGCATCGACCTGGGGTATTTCGCCGACCAAGACCGCCTGGGCGGGGCTGAGGCGGGTGGTTGGGGCAGTAATACCTTTGCGATTCCAAAATTGAATCGTCGGATCGTAAGCCATCAAGCGGTAATCTATAGCCTTTGTCAATCTCACTCATGAATCGTAAAGTGGAGATATGGCATTTGACTGTTGACGTCACTGGCTACGCGAGATGCATTGATGTAACACGAATTATCTAACGATTTTACGGCCCCTCACCACCAGCATTCTTGCAGGCTAGAACCGTGTAATGATGTTCAAAAAGATCAAGTTCAAGGCCGAGTCAGGTCAGGTCAACGTCAAGTCGAGCCGCAAAGTTCATGCCAGTTTGTTGCACATTATGTTTCCGCTTTTCTGGTCACCATAGCCTACAGCAGCTTATTGGCGGTGCCAGTCCCTGGCGCAGCTCAAACACTGAAAGGAGATCTGGCCATCTGCGGAAATCCACAGCTATAAATGTTTTCCTCTCCACGTGCCGTCAAGCTAATAGACTTCTCGAATGACTGAAATTCATGAATAATCCACAACATTCTTAAAATTTAGAACGGGCATTTTGATTGGATGGATTTCTGGGATCAGTACCCATTGATCCTATAAGACTCCTTCCTTCTGGGATCCCAGTGCTAGTTGCGTGAACCCTAGCGCCACCATCTGATAGAAAGCAACATATGAATTAGGTACTCCACTCACTCGCATCAATACCACAAACATTGATATGCGTCATTTTCAAGCGCGGTTGGTGATGCCAAATAGCCAAAGTTAAAATGCTCATCCCCGGTCGACATCCTGGCGACATATTGGTCTTAGTCAAGAAGTTGGATCGTGGCTTAGGCTGGCTCCATGCCTTAGTGCCACGTTCTCGGTGTTGCCGGGCCGTGTTTAAGTGGGGAAAATCAACGTAAAATGCAACAAAGAGAGCAGTTCATGATGCACATATGCTGCCATGAAAGATTTCCGAGCAAATTTTCGCCGTAGCAATACATAATAGCACATAATAGATGATCATATATTAGTTGAGGTTATCAATGCGTTATGGGCGTCGTAAGACCATTGTAGTCAGTGCACCGCAAACCCCAAATCATCACCATCATTTATGAATGCATTGAAATGTACCGTAACAAGCATATTTAACAAGTATACAAATACTTTTGTAAAGGTGCTAAACAGGACTCTGAAATTTGGCGAAGCAGTACCCACATGGCTTAATGGGAACGCCGCCACGGGAGAAGTCAATGGTTGGCGAATGCGCTAGTCGCTACCACATCACGTACCACAAATGGACACCACAAATCCTTTTGTCGTGGCATTCATAAGTTGAATTCACATGACCTCTGCTGAATGACCGGTGGCCTTGTAATGGCCTCGAATATTAGGACTGATCCGGGCTGGCACAGTCGCACGACCAGTGAATCACGTCGAAGCCACCCACAACTAGAGATAAAACTAAAGATTCCTGTACATAAAACAAAAATAGTAATTCATAATTATATAACACAAATAATAACAAGCAATTCCTCATGACGCTATTACTCCGTGATCGAACCGAACGGCGGCTCATTTTTTATAGAATGTGCTAAACTGTCCGTCAAAAGTACAGAAAATATGGCAGGCCTTATCGAAAATTTGTCAGATTTTTCAAGAAATCCACAGCGGGGCAAAGGCTAACGTCTGCCTAAGACGATTGCCAGCATACCTATTTGAAAAGCCATAGCAATTTTACAAAGCGTCCCCAAAAATGGGCATCTCAGTGAGGGCCACGTTCTGTCAGTACCAGCGTGCGGTCACTCTGCGGAGGCCCCTAAAGGCAACCCTCCTACGGTCACACCTGCCGCGATCGGCGGTCTGTCCCCAGTCAGCCCTGCTGCCGCCGGCGGTCTGTCCCCACAGTCAGTCCTGCTGCCGCCGGTGGTCTGTTCCCACAGCCAGCCCTGCTGTCGCCGGCGGTCTGTCCCCACAGTCAGTCCTGCTGCCGCTGGCGGTCTGTCCCCACAGTCAGCCCTGCTGTCGCCGGTGGTCTGTCCCCACAGTCAGTCCTGCTGCCGCTGGCGGTCTGTCCCCACAGCAGTCATTCCGCCGCTGGCCGGTCTTCGTCCCCACAGTAAGCCATGCTGCGCGTGGTCTGTCCCCACAGTCAGTCCTGCTGCCGCTGGCGGTCTGTCCCCACAGTCAATCCTGCTGCCGCTGGCGGTCTGTCCCCACAGTCAGCCCTGCTGCCGCTGGCGGTCTGTCCCCACAGTCAGTCCTGCTGCCGCCGGTGGTCCGCCCCCACAGTCAGCCCTGCTGTCGCCGGTGGTCTGTCCCCACAGTCAGCCCCGCTGTCGCCGGTGGTCTGTCCACCCGGCCGGTCTCGCCGCCGGGCCAGCGCCGGTCGGCCGCGTGCCGGTGATCGATAAAGCACGACCGCTGCCTCCCGACATCACAGCCCGCGGCTGCCACTGTAATGGGGCGCCTCGTGCGGGGTGGCGGTTGACGGCCAGCGCGCTGACGGATCCTCAGCGGGAGCTGGAGAGGAGCGGCCCCGCACAGCTGTCACGGAGGGAAGTGGGGCAGGGCGATATGTGCAACCGAGCGAGCATCATCTGACGCTCGTGGCGCGTAGGACCTAGCAGTCCTTGATTATCCCGCGGGAAAGAACCAAAAGCACATTGGTTGGATCGATCAGAAACTCAGTTAGCTGCGCTCTAAACTTACCTCATCGTGCTGCCTTGGTCAGGGCTGGGATGTGGGGAAAACGAAAGCTATTCACAGATACACATGTCCGCAAATAATTGAAAGAGGGAAATGTGAATGCATGTGTGAATGATTGAAAAACGGATGGATGTTTCACGCAGACGAAAGGCTTTTCCCCCTCGATAGCTGCATTCAAACAGTGTTTCAAATCGAATCACCGCTGTCCCATCGAAAGACGTGTAACTGGTCCAAAACATGAGTCATACCAGGCTGTCGCTCCTAAGACCAAACCTACTACCAAACCTATGACCAAACTCGCACAGCTATGTGCGATCGCATTCCAACTCGGACATCCTTTTACTGAGAGCCAGCGACTGCGATGGTCATGTTCACAGCTATGCGCGGTCGCATTCCAACTCGGGCACTCGCGTGGATGTAATCGAACCAATAGGCCACTCGCCCATGGCGTCCCTCCAACGCATAGCACGTGCGGTGATTGCGGTTCGGGGCCCAACTTGCAGGACACAGTGTTTCGTTCAGCGGCAATTTGCCAGCCCCGTGACTCCAGCACGTTGAAGGCAGACCGCGTTTCGAGCACACAGGATGCACCTGGCGGTGTCGCCTCCAGGAGTGTAGGGACAGAAGCCAAAACATGTCCCTCATAGACGATGTACTGGCATTGCGATGCGACCAAACACTTGAGCACAGCATGCACGAGGGCTGCCGGGAGCTACCGCGCGCATCAGTGGGTGGGTGAGCGCGGGTAACTGCGGGCAGGTCGCGTTCGCGGTTAACCATGCTTAGACGAGTCGGGCGGGTGCTTGGTCGTTTGAAGGGACTTATTGTTGAGCTGGATTTATTGCGGACTGGTATGCTTGACAGTTGGAGGTGAACGGAAAAGTGTGTAGATAAGACAGTAGTAATAGCCTCATTCCTGGGAAACAGACCGGGAGAATGGATCTATAGATGCTCTCATATTTCGGCAACATGCCTTTGTGGAAACAATAGCAGAAGTCATTGCTTCTGCTATTGTTTCGATAAAGGCACGCTGCCTATGTATCAACGCATTTATTTCTCCATTCTCCCGGTTTTCTCCGAGGCATGAGGCTATTACTTCTGTGTTATCTATGTGATTAATGTTCCTAGCAAATGCACTCAACAACTTACGGAGAAGTGCTTATAGTAAAACTGAGATAGATAACCGCCACCAATATAGCGACGCAATCATATGGCAGGCGGCTAGATATTTGGTTCGAGCTGAGCACAAGTCTGAGACAGTGTTTTAAGGCTTCAAGAATCCGAACATCATTAAAGGGTTGAAGGATTTGCTATGTCCCTTATAGACACTGAAACACTGGAAGGATATAAAGAATAAATACAACTAAGCTGTATGGGTACTCCGTCTCTAGGCTCCATCGATATCTTGCAGTATCTGCGCGGAAAAACGCAGGTCGAGGTTCTACGCGGAAAAACTAAAATCCTTAAAAAATGAAACAGTTGAATATGTTGCTACAGAGTTGTTTCCTACTGCAATGCTGACAGTCTGTGTCTATGCCCCACCCATGTCGCCTGACGCCGTCGAAGCATGCTGAAGCCTACGCTGCGACAGGCTGCCGCCATCCACCCGTGGGCTGAGGACGCCACCCCTGTGGCGTCCGCGCCGCGGCGCGGGGCCGGGGGCGAGGCGGCCGGGCGCCGCGACCCACCTCTGAGAGGCGCGCCGGCTCTTCCTCGGCTCGCCGTCCTCGTCGGGGCGCTCGTCCGACGAGAAGGCCGTCAGCTCGAGCTCGGCGTCACCGCTGCCGGCCGGCGGCGGCGCGATAACAGACCGGGCCGGGGGCGAGCCGGGCGCAAACAGCGGCCCGCCGCCGGCCGGCAGACCGGCCGCGGCCGTCACAGGCGGACGGCACGGCCGGCCGCCGGCAGGCGGACGTGATCCATCGCCAGGCCGAGATTCAGTCGCTCAGATGATGGAGCGCCCATGTGTTTGCAATATCTCGCTGGGCACACAACAGCAAAAAACACGCCAGTGTTGTCCCACAATTTCAAAGCGCAAGCAAGAGAGAAGCAGCGGAAACAGGCTTTCAACCCTGACGTCAGGCGATGTTTGGCAGCAGCGAGCCGGACAGATCGTCCAGCACCCGACAGCATGATCTATGGTGGGCAGTAAAGCAGGCTCACCACTACTGACCTGTCGATGCGTTTGACCCGGCGCAGTACGTGTTTAATGACCTCAGGTCGACGCCGTGCGGTGCTCTTCCTGTCCGAATCTGGCGGGCCGTTCGCCGCGGGCGTTGACACGTTGTTCGGCACCGCCCGCACGTTGGATGCCTTACGGGCCTCGAGCAGGCGGCGCCGTCCCAGTGTCTGGAGAATCTCCTGCGCAGCACGGTGACTGGGTGTCAGATCTCCAGGACAGCACGGTCACACGGTATCAAACCTGCGCAGCACTGCCATAATGTATTATACGTTCACTGCTATGCACAAGATCATTTCGACTAGATGGCTTCAACAACAGACTGATAGGAGAGCCGTGTTCTGCGCGACTCTTTATTGGTACCGAAAAAGGCGGCCGGCTAGACGTCAAACAAACGCCTGGGCTTCGGGGCAATGCAATTGACTCGTAGCACATAGATTATCACATGCGTTATGGAGGAGGGGAACTTAGAGCGCCGTAAAATTGCTGTCTGCTAAAGATAGACCCCAAAACCTCATAAACATTCTGGACAGAGCCCAACTGCAATAAAGCACTCAATATAAAATAGGGCGGAGGTGGCGATGCCGCCCACAGGCCACTCCGAGCGTAGCTGTAAACTGTGTGGGGAAATGCGGATCCAGCCGACCGAAGTCAGTTCCCTTCGATCGGGGCTCACGCTCTGCCCGACAGACCTGCAGGCGCTCAGTGCAGCCTACGCTGTCCATCCAGCCCGCCACAGCCATAGTGTGAAGGGACTATGCCTCTTTTGATATTTGTCTCCAGCCTGTATCGCTCGCCGTCTGGACCCTGGCTTTCCGGTACGGTGGCTGCCCATGGGGCTGCCAATGTTCCCTCGTTCACCGCCCTCTTCCTATCCCTGCCCAAAACTTGGTCATTGCTCTCTTCTGTCATTGTTATTTTTCATCATCACCTTAGGTCTGTTTCTGTCGTGAGAGGCATGATAACAAATTCATCGTTAGAGCAAAAGCAGGGGGCGGGACGCTATGGCTGGGCTCATTCCCTAACAATATAGGAAGAAAACAACGCACGACAATCCACCACTTCCGCGCACGCCCCTTCTCCCCAGGCCTTTTGGTCAGGCCTTCCTTCTGCCACCTGCCCCCCCCCCCCCCCACCGGACATGACCAGGCCTTCCTTCTGCCACCTGCCCCCCCCCCCCCCCCCCACCGGACGTGGTCAGGCCTTCCTTCTGCCACCTGGCCTGATATCTCGGCATAGTACTCGGCACGGCACCTGATATGTCGTCAATTCAGCCAACATCGCTTCCTTCTGGCGTTTGCCCCCAGGCGAGGCCGGTGTCACCACCTGCGCCCAGCGCCCCCTGGCCGCCCCCCCCCCCCCCCCCGAGCCGACGACTCTCACCTGCGCCTCCGGGTAGTCGCGCATTGCACTCAGCACGTTGTCGCGCGAGAGGCTGAACAGCTCAGAATAGCCCACGGAGCGCACGTCGGCTGTTCGCCTGTGATAAGAAACAAACAAATGTGTGGGCGCCACAGCCGACCGCCGGCGCTCGGCGGCGTCCAGGCCAGGGCGAGATCGCAGACAGAGGCGTCCGGGTCGGAACGGGATCGCAGACAGAGGGTCGGAGGCGAGCGATCCAGCTGTTGGGCAAACTCAAGCGATTGGTGCGTGGTAAACACTGCTGAATCACGACTGATTACGCCTTAATCAGGGGTGAAGAGGCCAGGGCGCTGCCGACGAAACTCACTTGTTTAGCCCGTCCAAATTGAGGATGCCAATCTCGCCAAAAAAGTCCCCCGCCTTCATCGTGGTGAGGACTTTCCCGCTCTCGCTGAAAAACGCATCGCCGGGGTGAAATCCATGGTCAGAGCTGAGGAAATGCGCAGCTTGGACGGTCACCAGATCACGAACTGGACGCCGTGGCTGACACACGTTCGATGCCGACCACATGCCACCTGTGCCGGGCAGTGACCTGCCGGTCACGCCATCGGGTCACGCCATCGGCCGTGATACGGCGCCGGGCGCGTGGCGTGAGCGCTCGAGAGTGCGGCCGGTGTGACAGGCTATTTCCGGGCGCCGGCGACAGCCCGGTGGCAGCATCACCGATGGCTGCAGGCCGGCTGCCCAGTGAGTGCCGCGCCCCTGGACCTCAGGGCAAATGGCGCGCTCCACGACTAATTAACGGCGACGGCTGGACACCGATTCCCGTGACAGCCGGCTGGGAACGGCCGGACAGCTTCGTGGTAATCTAGCGGAGTTTTTCATCAGGCGCGCGTGCGATAACCGAAAATCGTGCCCACTCAAGAGGTCTGAATATGTACTGCGTCAATACCTTCGTTATCCTGTCTGTCTACCGGTTTGCCTTTTATCACCCCTCTCTCTCTCTCTCTCTCTCCCTCTCTCTCTCTCCTCTCCCTCTCTCCCTCTCCTCTCTACTCTCCCTCCTCTCTCACTCTCTCATCTCCTCCTCTCTCTCTCTCTCCCTCTCATCTCTCCTCACTCACTCACCACTCTCTCCTCACTCGTCTCTACTACTCACGCCATCATCAACCCACTCATTAACCCACTCTAATATAACCTTAACCCGTTCATAACCCATGTATAACTCTCACCTTCCTTCATTTCGTATTTTCCTCTCACTAAGACATTTAGTGACTCACTCCCTCACTCGCTTCAGTCCATTGATTTTGCACTAACGTGGCGTGACTCTACGATTCTTACAATTATTATTCCTAGCCATAATGCATGCCCTCCGTCTTGGAATGCAAAGCGCTTGATTGTAGTTATTTCTCAACTGTGGGTCTCCATACAGGCGTGCCGTGGTACGTGCGCGTAGCATTTACAGATTAAATAACTGTCTAGCCACGTCTCATTCAGTATACGGCATACAAGAGAGGAATGCAATAAATCAGATATGAAGCCATCACCAAATGAAATTGGGCTGACTAACACGCACCCGGGCGGCCGGTTGGCTATCTTTCGCTCGGGTGGGGGGTCAATTTGACCCCGCCCCCTGAGATCCCAGGAACTAAGAGGGCTACAGGCACCAAATTACCAGAGTGTGTTAGCCTTTACGTGAACTCACTTGGGTCAGATTTTAAGCCTCATAGGTCACGATCTTCGGGTCAAACAAGGTCAAACAAGGTCAAACTCAAAGTTAGTCTCCAGTGTCCTCAGAACCTGGATACCTATTCTAAGCAAAAGGTCACATGCTCATTTAAGGTCAGTGACCTTGTTTGATCTTTCGAAGGTCATGGTGACCAATATCATAGAAGAATGCTTTGCGTTTTACATTTGAATAAGCGACAAAAATTAAACTAGTCAGTATGTTACTAAAAACGAAATGCTGTCCTGGGTCACTTCATGTCAGTGACCTATTCTGACCTATAAGAAGTCCACGGAAGACGCCTAATGTGGCTTCGGTCATCAATGAATTCGAAACAAGTACCAGAAACTACCACACGCAGCAAGCCCTACAGTAATAAAACAGATCAGTCTTGATCCTGGTTTAACCTTCATATCTGACCGTAGGCCGATGGAATTTGGCCATTCAATTGTTTTTTTTTTTTTGCCTAACAAAGTATCTCAGAGGTGTATGACTTCGTCTAACACTCCGTTGTTCCATCAGATTAAACGATTCCCTTCAAATTGACTTCGCTGAATCCATGACCTGACTTTGACCTGCCATAGGTTAGCGATCTTACAAGATTCATCAAATTTCTTGATATCACATGATCCACTATCCAATTATCTACAGCTATGCAAAATTTGGTGCGGCTACGCCGAGCCGTTCAGAAGTCATCCCGACAAACCCCTCGGGGGTCAATTTGACCCCGCGCCCGAGCGCGCGGATGAAAAAAAACATCGATGCTTCAGGGACTAGAAACGACCTGGCTCAATTTGCCAGAACAACACCGACGAAAACAGCAATCAACAAACTGGCGCGGAAATGCGTCGCCCGGAGCAACAGTTAGTAGATCCACGCTGCCCATTAATAACTTAAATGTCATCAATATGCGTTATCCATCGACCGGTTGTACCTTTGGCCATTACAAAGGAAATGGACAGTTCGGTAGCAGTTCGGAAGGACGGAAAACAGTAACAGTTCGGAAGGACGGTAACGAAAACCGAAAATGCGCTAGATGGCGCGTTTAGTGTGCGCATCTACATACCAACTTGGCGTAGAAAGCAAAACGTAACTTTGCCCGCAAGCTCCTTCTTCATTAGGATGGGGCTGGGGAGGGAATGGGGGGGGGGGGGGAGTCAGTTGCCAATTTCACCTTGATCCTCCCTGAATATATGTGAAATTCGATGTTATGGGTTCAGAGGTCTTCTGGTAACAGAGACTGGCTTTCAACATAACAGGAGGAACTGGTTCAACGACGTTACCAATGAAACACTGGTTGTTTTATCAATGCTGAGTATCAACTCACGCTCTACCGAGTACTGATACTGAGTGCTAAGGTATCTACTGAGTATATATATGTATATCTATAAACACATGCATATTTGTGTGTATAACCATTTATCAAGGACTAAGGTTGTAATATCATATATATGTATATATATATATATATATATATATATATATATATATATATATATATACATGCATACATATGCATGCAAAAACAATGGAAATTGACTACATAATCAATATTTTCTCGATCACGTCGCTCAACCAGCATCTCCTGGTATAGTGAAGGTCGATAACTTTCAGCATAAGAACTCTGAGCAAATAATGCCTAAAACCAAAGCTCGATGCCTTTCTTAGTTTTGTCATGTAACATTTGACTTGCACCCCGTGACCTTCGCATCCCGCCCAAACTGCGGCGGTGATTCTACCATCTGCTGCAGACTGGCGCGTGCCACGCTGGCCGTGTCTTAGCTCTAACTTGGCGATGACAAGGCCACTTTCAGCTCGTACCTGATGACTTCCAGGATGCCGTCAGCTATGATGAACATTTCGCGGGCCACCTCGCCCTTGCGACAGATCAGGTCTCCCGGAGTGAAGATGTAGGCTCGCATTTTCAGCACCAGATCATGCAGAAACTCCGGCTGACAAGCCTTGAAAATAGTCACCTGCGCAAGATTGAAGGCATTAGCAGTGTAGGACGTCAGGTCAGAAGACGCCACAGCTAAGAAATGTAACATTTTTTCTCGCTTTTTCCAAATCAGAATATATATTGACCACCGCATCTGTCGTGTGAGGGACGCAAGGGACCATCGTGTATGGAGCGTCAACCATTGCAAAGGAGAAAAACGTAAGCTGCACTATCCAGATTGACAGCTTATCCTAAGTGCAACTCGCTGTGTCTAATATGATGTACCTCGCTGTTGAAATACTATCAACGTCAAAAATGTTTCAAGTTGCACCATGCAATTTATTATTGTTGCCGGATTTTATGACAGTGCGCCATGGTCTTTGAGTTGGTCGCTATATCTATTTGTTGATTGGGGATCAGGGGGCGGGTTGCTAAAGCCATTTTGCGCCAATAACGAGCCGTTACTTATTTTACGTCGACAGTTCATTACGCAAAGTCCTATTGTTGCCATCAGCGCAAATGTCTTGCCTGCCTCAGTCGCGTACAAAACATCTACGCCGATATACTCACGGGGGTCGATTTGACACGCTAGCCAAGTACGCTTCTCTGTTTTGCGGTGGTGCACATGTGACCTCATTGACCTCCATGTCATTGACATCAACCCATTGCCGATTGGATTTATTGCGCTTACTGAGGAATTAGACTAGTCACGCAAAGGTCGGAACTACACACCAATCATATTTTGCGACTGGGAGTGAAGGAAGCCATTAGCCGAAAAAGAACACTAGGCCTGTTTGACGTCCAAATATTTATTGAACTGAAGACTATTAATGTGAGCCTAGTCAGAGTTGCTTCCCATGAATATCACAACCACTTTGCATGCTGCTATCCATCCCTTTACGCTCTCTGGAAGCTCTCTGGTCGTCCCCACTCGTCTCTGTGGATCACTAAGCCACGGCTTCATCGGCCATCAGATCGCTCTCGCGAGCCACATAGACAACAATGATTTGCTTAAAGGGCAACAGAGCAAAATGGATGGACGTTTTTCATCGGCCGTTTCAGGCCTGTATGCGAACCATTACGATGATAAGAAAAGTCTTAAAACGTCGCCGCATAGCGGGTACTCGAGAAAACGGTTTTCAAAACGCAATTAGACGAAATCCCCAAAAGTATCCTGCACAGCTCAGGCGCGCTACTAAGTGCGTTGAGCTTTTTTCAGCATCCCACCATTCTCAGCAGGTCACACCAGACCGTAAAACGTCAGCTCACACATTTGTTAGCGTCATACATTGGCGCTTTCCGTGATTACTAAAGCGTCGCCAGATGCCAGAGCACAAGAGCGCACCTTCTTGAGCGTCATCAGGTTGACGTGGAGAGCGAGCTCGGTGCGCAGCTTGTCAGGCAGCAGGCCGAGCGCAGCGTTGATGTCGCCGCCTCCCTGAATGTGGCCGCGTGACCAGGAGTAGTCGTACCAGCGCTGCACGCGCCGCTGCATGTCACGCGGCACACGGTGGTGGCGCATGTACAGCTTGGCGCTGTCCTGTGGCACAGGCGACGGTTAGCGGGCACCGGCGAGCGCCGAGCCGACGCCGGCCACTCCGACCACTCCGGCCACTCCGAGTGGTGACGTGCAAGGCCTTCGAGAGTTGAGTTCGTGCTTGGTAGAGCTGAGTGAGCTGCAGGTTAAAATTCGGGTAAAGGCTACAATCTACATGCTTGCTAAGAGATCGTTTGCGCTTCGCTGCTGTATTACGCATACTGATCGTTGTAAATTAACTTGCTAAGCTTATTTTTGGGCAGTATCGTTTGTGGGGAATTTCTAATCTAAGAGGGCATTGTTTTTAGGGGAGTGATACGCACGTCGTCGCACACTCTTTTATGGAGCGTCAGCGACTGCGGAGACCTTATTAGCGCTCAGGGGCCACGGCGCACCCAGGACTCGCACCCGTGTACTCCACATAAAGACGCTAACAGCTGGGCCGTTACGCTCCCCTAACCCTCACCCAAATATGAGGGAGGGGGTCGATGCGACCCCCTAAGGTTTTTTGAGAATAGCTTTATGGCATGTTGTGCAACCGTGCCCAAATTTTCAGTGGCCTATGTAACATTCGTTACACCTGTTTTGACACGAAACACGCATTTCCGAATTTCCTGGTTTCGGAGCAGCGACGGTTTATGAAGAAAATTGTACGGCGATCTTCGGCGAGCCGGACGGCGTGCTGCAGCCACACTCACTGTACTATACAGCAAGTATATTTAAGTGTTTTGAGGATATGTCATCGACATATGCCCAGGGGGCATGAAATGTGTATCATTGGACTAAGAATTGGATAAGAAATTCGTCCATTTAGGTTTTGTGTCACCACGAGGCATGTTCTCGTATGTATGATGTTTAAAGTTAAAATAGTGCAACTTTCTGGAAAATTAACAGTTGATTTGGCATGATTGGGTCAATTATTGGCTTAGCACCATCAAAGCAAGCACTAATTGTGAGATCTTGTCGAGACCAATCCATTGATGCTTTTCACTAAGCTCTATCTTTATATGTTTGGAAACACCATGGGGGGGGGGGAGGGTCGCATCGACCCCTATCCGACCGCATTCTGAAAAACGGCGAATCAGGGCGAGGACTAATTAATAATATTGACTAAAACAGAGCGACGATCATTTTTCCAGACACATTTTTGTCGAGGCCAAAAGGCCTAGGGTATTCAACGTAGCATTGTGATTGGTAACTACGTAGCTCATTTGTGATCGTCACATATCACTAATGCGAGCGACAGGTATGGGCAGCGAGGTAGCACAGTCAACAACTTTGACAGCCTCGTGTAACATTACTGCCTGAAGTTGTACGTTAAGACAGGTCATCGTGCTCTGGCCCGGCAAGTTCTTGATCCTAAAAGATATGCATCATTGCATAGAAGGAGATGCAAGATTATTACACAAAATGTAAGGGGTAGATCTTGAGGGATCTTTTGAGATCTTTATTTGGAGGGATCTTGAGGGATCTTTCAAAATCCAAATACAGATGTAAGATCCAAAAAGATCATCCAGCAAAATTGTAGAAAAAAAACAGGATGCAAGAAGATCATTCGCGAAATGACAAATTCGATCACGGATCCTAGACTAAGGATACAACACGTTCATAATACAGAAGAAGTCTCAGGCCATTTGCAGCCACGGTTGGAACTTGGCAATCTAATGCCAGCGTTCTCGAGATAACACAGTTAATGGGTCTAAGTTTAAGACACGGAGCTTGGCCAGCAGCTTCTGGGATATTAAACAGCCTTCAGGGAATTCGTTACATAGACAAACTTCGCGTGGCAGTGTTGTTAAGCGTCATTCCTAACGTTTCAAAAGATTTATGATCACTGAGGTAACGAACAAGCCCGCGTCCCATTTCACCGCGATTTTGTACTAAGAGCACACCAATTAAACTGTCTCCGGATAGGAAATCTCCAATCTCTGGTAACCTCGGCGGATGAGTGTACTTTTCTGTTCAGGGTCGTTAAGTGCGGAATAGCAGACAGACATAATCATAGGATTAGGTCCATTAATCAGATCGGGCGCCATCAATACGCATAAGTTTATCACAGCTTGTCTAAGTTGGAATAGCCCTCACAACCACAACTTTTGACAAGACCAATGCAATGTGCTATATGCACGGTCTGATTTCAATCTACGATAAGCTGCCATCCTGTTTAACACGCGCTCGGGTGGGGTGTCAAATTGACCCCCCCAAAGGTTTTTCCAGAATGATTTCCGATCGGCGCGACATAGCCGCGCCAAATTTTGCACAGCTGTAGCAAATTGAATAGCAGATCGCTTGACTAAAAAACTTAGATGTATCTTGTAAGGTCGCTGACCTATAGTAGGTCAAAGGCAGGTCATGGTTTTAACGAAGGCAATTTATAGGAAATCGTTCAATCTGATACAACAACGGAGTGTTTGACGAAGCCATACATCTCTGAGATGCTTTTTTAGGCAAGACAACAGTTGAATGAGCAAATTGTGTTGACCTAAGGTCAGGTATGAAGGTGAGACCAAGGTCAAAACCAACCTGATTTATTACCCTAGGGCTTGCTGTATGGAATTGTTTGTGGTGCTCATTTCGAATTTATTGACAGCAGCAGCCGCATTATACATTTTTATTGACTTCTTGTAGGTCAGAACAGGTCATTGACCTAGCATGACCTGGGTCGACATTTTGTTTTAGGAACGTACTGCCTAGCATAATCTTTGTCGCTTATTCAAGTGCAAAACTCAGAGCAGTCTTGTATGATTTTGGTCACCATGACCTTTTGAAGGTCAAACAAGGTCACTGACCGCAAATGGGACTATGAACTTTTGCTTAGAAACAGTTGCCTTGGTTCTGGGGGCACTTTGGACACCAACCTGCAGTTTGACCTTGTTTGACCTTATTTGAGCTGAAGGTCATGACCTATGTAGCTCAAACTTTGACCTAAGTGAGTTCACGTACAGGTAAAGACGCCCTGTAAATTTGGTGTATCTAGCTTTCTTAGTTTCCGATATCTCAGTTGGGGTCAAATTGACCCCTCACCCGAGCGAAGGGTATCTAGCCGGCCACCCGGGCGCGTGTTAAAGCTCTGGATTATTGCATACAAATGACGCGAACGCATGTTAACATCGAGAGCCAGACCAGACGCACTTAAGCCGTCCCTTCTGAAACGACCAGAAGTTTACAGCAATGAGTTCGGAATGAGGACTTTTGCAAGAGTGGCTTATTGCAAAGACCCAGACCGCGCCACATCTGTAAGGTTGACAGATAACTGCTAGCCGAAATGCTCTAACTTGCTACGCATCGCCATGTCACGGCTAACCGGACACTCCAGGCAGCTGCTGGCTGACGGGTAACACAAGCACGATTTTTCGAACGCGAATTCACGTGCCTGTCATCGTAGTGGTCAGGTTATATATCCCGCGCTCTACCAGCTGAACTATGGGAGCGCCTATGGAGAGTTTTAGAACGAAGACGGTCCTTGCGCTCCGTTACAAACGCGGTAAAGACGCAACGCAGACCAAATCATTCAGCACTTTAAACATATGTAGATTGAATGCGAAGGAGAGTGAGAACGGAAAATGGAGATACAGATGCGTTAACGCATCTATATCTCCATTCTCTTAATTTTCTCCGAAGAATAAGGTTATTCCTACTGTATTATCTATGTGAAGGAGAACAGCTCTCAAAAACGATGGAGGGTTCTCAGAAACGATGAAGCACGGAAGAGGACAGCGACAAGGCTTCACAATGAGAGATAAAACGAACTCGCGTCGAATTCATTCAAAAGGCTCAGGATTTTTACTTTCAAAGCTAGAGACGAAGCGCTCCGCGAATGGGACTGCCTGATACCGATGAGAAAAAAAAATAGTTAAGAGTTGTCTTTGACGACGCTTTGGTCACGGGGTCTACAAGGAAATAAGTTTTTTAGGTTTCTGCGAACCAAGTCAGTGTAATAGTGGTCGTATCTATCACGATTGATAGCAGAAAAGTACGTTAAAAATGTCGAAGCTCCCTTTTTACAGCACATGTATGAGGCTCTATATTCATTGGCTAAACTTTCTGACAAAATATGCCCTATGTTGAGTGGACAACTTAAATCGATTTAAAGCATTATTCTCATACTATTTTAAACAGCCGACATCGACTGATTTCTTGGAAGAATTCGTCATTAATTGCGTCTCAGGCGGGCTGCTGAAAGCACGCCAGATCTTCGAGAGCACTAAAATCTAAGAGATCTAAAAGATCTAAGGGAGCACGCGGGACAGCCAGGTGGGTGAGAGCACTGAGCGAGGCATATCACTGAAGTTTTCTTCAGAACGACTTGCCCGAACCACGCGGTGAGAATAATTCAATTAAATACTGACGAATACGACTGGAAGCACCCAATGGAGTGGTAGTATGAAGCATAACACCCATCAACTCCAGGAGGACTGCAAATCTATCGCGCCGCGCCGAACGTGACATAAAACCGTGCCGAAGAGGAAATTCGAGCCACGCATTCAGCAAGACGCCGTCATTTCCGCAGTAATCGCTCCTTGATGTTACTGCAAACTTCAACATAACACGTTTTAAAATAGCTGTTCAACGGAAAAAATTGTGGTTATATATATATATATATATATATATATATACATATATATTTTTTCTTTACTAAATGATCGGCAATTGACTGGCGTAGGTGACAGTGACAGCGAAGGTGTCACGACGTTTCTGCCGTACGCTGACGCTGACTGTGTCCTCTGACTTTGGTAATGATCCCGTTGACGGTCAGGGAGTACTCTTTCCTCCAGCGTTACTTACCAACAGTCTCTCAAACTCCAGACGATTGGCATTTCGATTTGTTATCACGTTGCCCACCTGGCCTGAAATAAAAAACGCGTTAGTAGTGCAGCTGTTTGGCACATGGTGCAGGCGGTAACATACGCAAACTTAAAAAATGCCGAGCGCAGTATTCTTGCCGCAACGTGATGATGAAAGCTTTACCCTGTTTGTCATATGGTAATGGTTTAATAGCCAAACTACCATGACTCTCACGCATGTGCCTTGTAACGCGGCGTAGATTGATCAGGCTGCACCAAAAACAGGGCCGAATTATTCCCTCCCATTAGGCAACCGCTTAACGCGTCGCTACGACGCGTTAGAAAGGCGAGTACCTTTTGTCGCCATAAATCCCACAATGATGAGGGTCGTGACAAATTCCCGATTGAAAAAGCTCTAGCACCTGTCCATTACCTAAGTGCTGGTGTCTGCTTCAGCCTCGCGCTTTGATCCTATCTTTCCTAGTTGCTGTTTCTCTTACTGGCTACGGAAGGTGCAGTCAGCATTATCACAAGGTGTCTTGTTCCAGCTTTGCAATGCCTGCTACCCCGGGTGAGGAAACGCCCCGCAATCCTGCCGCCGCTGTGTGACACACAACCGACCGGGGGGGGGGGGGGGGGACACGTGTCACCGGCGCACGCTAGAGAACAGGACCCCCACACTGGTCTGCGTCGGGTCCACGAATGCTGGTGCCAACTCGGAAACGAACGGGGCCGCGGATTACAACTCGCCGCCGTGCTAATGCCGGGATCAGCCGGCGCACAACGTCCGAGATAGCAGCGAAGAACTTTAACATTAATTATCTAAGAATATTACATAAAACTACATGTATTTAGTTTCATATCTAGCACAAATGTCTCGCGCCGATTTCTGAAGGTGAAACCAAAACAAAGCCAGTTTTAACTTATAAACTTACCACCTCTTGATGACCCATTTTGTCGTTCATGTACGGTGAAACCTTACAGTGGCACTTACCAACAATTGTAGCAAAGATGAATACTCCTATGAGGTAGCTCACGATGGTGAAAAGGTACCTGCAGGCATATGCAGTGCGTTATGAGGCATTCAAGGCGTCGCGAGTTGCTGAGAGCACTGACGTGGCACAGTTAGCTGTCACTGCCCCGAAATGTGCCTGGGGTTATGAATGAACCCCAGGTTCCTGGACCTCTTTCTAAAGTAATATCACTGGATCGGCCATATACCTCTGCGACCCCGGCACATGTATGCTGAACGTGCATGCTGGGCCCAAGGCTGCCACCGTGGCGCTTTTGACCCACGAATCCAATATCAGAGGCAGCAATGGCAAAGCCTGCCTGAAATTCCTCGAGCGTTCAGGTCGGCTATTGACTCGTGCGGTAAACGAATCTCTGGAACGACATGGTAAGCATCGATCCTGTAGGCGATTGGCTGGCACACAGCAGTTGTGACGTCATTGGGATGACGCGACAAGAGCGTGTGTTGACTAACCACTGCGGAGAGCTCGCTCCCTGGATAGAGGAAAGGTTCCAGATGTATGACCTTGAACTGCCGGAAACTTCGCCTTGCGGTACATAGAATCACTTTTCCGGCAGCGGCTTATCATGCCCACACGAGCTACAGGTGAACTGATAGCCGGGGGAGGGGGAGAGGAGGGACTCTGCTACATCGGAACCTTGGCTGCAAGCGAGCCGGACCGGGGCCCACCAGTTGAGTAAATGTATCAGCTTAAAATTATCTCATCCGTGGCTGAGTCCGCCCACTAAACAAGACGACGAATGGTGTGATATCCATCTCCTCAACTTATGGACAATCAAAGCTTGAATTTCCTAACCGTCCCGTTACAGATACGTCTAAGAAAAGAGAATGACGAACAGATCACCCCACATTATATGGATCATTCCGTGATTGAAGTGCATTGGCTGTCATGGCAACGCAGCGGATCGTGGAAGTGATGATCCAAAGCGTTGAGCTCACGGTCCAAGAGGTCATCACTTTGTCAAGAGCCCGACAAGATGGCGTCCTCCCAGTCTGATCTCAGCTCCAGCTAGACAGTTCTGAAGGCCGCAGGAGCGAGTGAGACCATTTCTGACTCACAAGTCAGAAACGCCTCGTTCCGAACACTTGTGCTGAAATGATTGCTTCATCTGCAGCATCGAACCAACTGCTCGAGGCCGTCTCTAGCGCCGGGAGCCGGAGTTATTGTGTTCGCGACTGCACGGACCAAGGCGCGCCAGCTCAGCTCCTCCTCCGCACTAATTGGATGATGCGATTTTGTCAACAATGGAGACTACATGTAAAAATGAAGGTTTCTTTACTTCCGGACAGTACTGCGCATTATACATTGGTATCCATGCATAGTATTATGACAGGAATGTGACCAGCCTGTTTACGAGAACATTTTTTTTTCACTCCGCATTAACACTACGTACGTTGTTCAATGCAACAGCGAGCAACATTATTCACATAGATAGGACAGTAGTAATAGCCCTATTCCTTGGAGAAAACCCAGGACAATTGTCATATAGTTAGATTGGTATTTCGGCAACATACCTTTATCAAAGTAATAGCAGAAGTGAATTCACCTCTGCTATTGTCTCGATGAAAGCACGTTGCCAAAATATTAATCCAACTATGCGTTCATTCTCCTAGTTTTTCGCCGAGGGAAGTCGCTATTACTACTGCCTTATATATCCGCTATTAAAACTACTAAGATGGTCTGCGGACAAGGGAGGAGCGAAAGGAATGTTTACCTATTTAGAGCTAACACATCAGCAGGAATCAATTCGGCATGCCTCAAAGGCTATCAAATTATAACGGCGCACCCGTGAATCCAGAGGACATGCGAGCCAGGGCACTGAGCCCATCGGCCCCGCCTGCGCCACTCGGCCCCACCTGCGCCCCTCGATCACGCCTGTGCCCCTCACCCCCGCCTACGCCCCTCGGCCCCAGCTGCGCCCCTCGGCTCCGGCTACGGCTGACGTCTGCCTCTAGCCTGTATGAGCGCTCCCTCGCTCCGGAGGAGAGGGCCGCGGCGGTGTCATAAGCATGGGACGGTCGCGCGGTCGCGCACCATCGCCCAGCGCCGCCCGGCTGCCGGGCTCGTGCCTTGTCACACCTCATCGGCACGCCGCCAGACGGTAGTCAGCGACAGTGCGTATCTGGGATGAGGGCAGCGGCGTGTGGTGCTCTAATGAATGCCGGCAAAAGTGATGTGTGTGCACGCAGCGCCAGACGGGACAAATTCGGCCATCAGGGATCACCGGAAGTCATTAGGTTTAATGGGGGAAAGAAGAGAGCTCGCAAGAGATCATTAATGATTGGAGATCGAGCTTCCACACCGGTGGAGATCACAAGGCAACTATCCCGGAAAGTACAGGCAGGTCATCAGAGGTCATTTGAGGTCACTATAATTCAACGTATAGAATCAGAGGCCACAAAGGTGGCCAGAGGTTAGTATAATCATCAGTCATTAAAAAAACATGAGAGACCAACAAAGGTCGCTTAAGGTCACCGGGACTAAGGTAGAGCGGCGTCGCGGGTGGTGCCGCCGTGGGACCCCGCTCAGGGCGAGCCAGTGGCCCGTGCGTCCCGCACTTCTGCCCAACGCCGGCGCAACAGCAAGCATCCACTCTGAGTTTCGCCTCGAGACGCGACAGCCGGAGGGGCCGCGGCCACCCGGGCGTGTCGGCCACGTGACCGGGGACTGAGGCGCCCTGAGCGGTCCCGGCACCCAACTGGCGCCAAAAACTGACCCTGTGTTAGAGTTGATCTGCGTCAGGCGCGATTTGAAGTTCCTCCGGCCCATTATACCGGCGCTCGAGTTGGCGAAATACAGGGTAGATCGATTGCTGCTGCCGGTGAAGGAGCGCTGTGTGACTCGCCGGCCTGAGACAAGCCAGCCGTTCGCCAGACATCTTTCAGACACCGGCCGGACATCGGCCAGATATCGGACAGATACCGGCTAGATTTTCATCAGATATCGGCCAGACATAGGCCAAGCACCGGTAAAATATCGGCTACGCGCCATCCATAGATGAACCAGATACCATTTAGACAGCAGCCAAACACCGACCTGATAGCAGCCAGATGAGAGCCAGAGATACGCTGGATACCACTCAGATGCGGACCACATATGAGCCAGACAGAGCTTAGATGTCCGAAAATTAAAAAAAAAGAAGAAAATCACAGACCGGAGGTGAAATGTTCCCAAATTACGCAAATGATGACAGTGATGTTCTCATTTTGGTTTCACCGCCTGTCATCATCACACACCACTAGCAACACAGGTCTACATAAGAAAATATGGCTTACAGAATGTTTCCTATAATATACGTATTTAGCCAGCATCTGATGATTACGAATCGCGCCGTATTATATGATACGGGACGAAACAGTCGATAACATACAACAGCGGAACTAGAGGCAAGGGCGACTACATAATGTGGTTATGTTTAGCCAAGAAGATCACGCAAATGTGGGAATTATACGAGTCATGAACAGTGTGGAACAGTACAGTGTACAGTGTAGACACATACCGGACACAGACATTTGGTGAGGAGGACAGGCAGACACCGGACGCAGAGCCCGTGCACCATATTTCCTAAAAGGGTGTCACTGGCGCCGTACAGGCATCCTCACAGAGGCAGCTGTGCCGGCACGTAGCCGCGAGGGCTGTCTGCTGCCTACGCTGGACTCCAATGTTTGCCACACAGGGCAAGTCATGCTGGCGTCTGCAGTCCGAGCGGCGCCAGTCCGTGTACTGCCAGGGTGTCACCGGTAATGCGGCAGTACCGAGATCTCGCATCTCTAACGCGGTCACATTCCAAATGGCTCCAAGCTTAAATCTTTCAAAGCTCCAATCTCTCGTGTCATGCATATATGAAAGGAAAATACGTGAAGCTGCACATAGCAGTTTGACAGGGTACGAATATCTGAGGTCAAGTTGACAACGGAGTAGAGAGCGTTTCCTATGATTAACTTGAAATCGCGCGTGCCTCCGCCAAGCGAAAGCCAGTAGTCTCCTTCACATCGACACCCAAAAATGCCTGCAGGTAGAAGCATTAAACCTGTGCGTGCGATGGAACCCACCCTGGCGTTCGGCAGTTATCCGGAAACCAGAGACGGGTAACCAGATCGACCCCAGATGAGGTCAACGTCAGGGTACGTTATGCCCACACATCGATATAAAGGCACGCGAGCGGACCAGGCGCAAATGCTAAATCCTGAGCTTCTAAAAGCAATGAGTGATGAGCAGTACGGTCGGTCGACCGCAGATGACGCTTCTCATGTCAACATCAACATCCAGACCCGGGAGTAATATATTGAAAGGCCCGTTTGAAGGAGCAGTGACGTCATTAAGTCGCTGCAGCGCAGTGAGATCAAATGCTGTAGGGTTAACTGATTTGAAAAGTACACAGAAGTGATTTAAAATCCAAATTGCTTTTAGATCAAAGTCCATCTCCTATCATGGTTGAACTGTCGTTGCATATCGTAATTAAGCCATGTTGAGCCTAAAATTCGTGCCAGCCCTTGCTCTCCCAATGTCAGATACCAAGTAAAGACTATGCATCGAGTCCTGAATGACCAATTTCTACAGGTAAGAAATGTATAATCTACTACATTATTTCTTCCCGGATAATCTATCCCGTGTCAACAGCCAATTTACAATGCCCAGTGGCATGCATATTTCTCGAAATCAATGGACAATCATAAACTGTCACGACTATCTTTCGTCTAGAAGTTGTAAAGGTGGCGTAGAACTACTATATCCTTGGATGATTGTCACTTCCATTTTTAGATAGCGTTTTAGACATTTTCCTGCAACCATATCGGTGATCCCGATATTTCATGCAATGTTTGAGTAAGACGTATTATTTTGCACCTACGATGAGTACAGTAGCATGAACTTGCTTGACCACCACTCGGCAAAAATGCGGGGTCTGCTAAGCAGAGCGCTCTGATGTAACCCTACGCAACTTGCTTCGTGCTTCGCATGCCTGGTATGTGACCCGTGTGCTATCATTGGCCCTACAATTCCGGCATTACTTACAAGTTGAGTTTAAGAACACCTACCGGTAGCGTATCATGAACCGGCTTCTCATGCGAAGGAATGTTCCATTTTGATGTGTTAACAGCCATGCGAGGCCGCCACAACAAATACTACCGATTTGAAATAGAAAAGCGAAAGTCGTAGCTTTATTCAGTATCCGCAAAGCAATTCTAAATCCGAGATCGCCCATATCACTTTAGAGAATATTCCCGGATCGAAGAATGATGGTTTCCTTTCAACGATCACAGCGAAACGAACAAAACAAATGTGAGACAACTTGGTCGCAGAGGATTGCAGTCGCCATGCTTCCCAGCGTTTCCCCTTCTCGTCCGGCATACTGGAAAGTTTGACTTTGGTTGATGGCTGGGTGTCCGGCTGTTGCCTCGTACCCGGGCGAGGAAGCGGTCGGCAGTAGCTTTTGATGGTCTGTCTGCAACAGCTGCTTTTCCCACTGGTCGCTATGGGAATCACGCGTATTTCTGGAAATCCGACCATTGTGTCGCTTTCTAATGTCATACTACTTTCCAATGCCATATTCCTTCACCCTATCAAACTTTCACATAGTGGGTGAAGAAAACTTTTGTTGAATCATCGGATAATAAGGGCACACACTTTGAAAGAGTCGTCAGCTCTGAGCTGTGAAGTATGCATTAAATACGAACTGTTACGCTACGCCACAGCTCCAGTATTTTCATAACCAAACTTTTGATCCAGCGATACATCACAAATAATGCCAACGAAGCGCTAGTCTCTTTTCTGCACTGTTCATTGCGTATTTATGACAACTGTAATGTAATGATAGAGATGCTACGTTTATGCACGTGCCCTTTCGGGCCACGACTTGATACAACTTATGGCAAGACGGTTTGTCCCATTTTTAAAGGACGCAAACACCAACTGTGTGGTTGGTAAACAATGCACACAAAGTAGATGTATATTTCAACCTGACAAATTCTGACTCAAGGATGGGTGATGACAATGAGGGAACAGAATGATGCGCTTGTTTGAACACTTTAAAGAACATCGTGCTTAAAGCTAATCGTTTACTTTGGGTGCGGATGACTCGATGGCTCGTAAATACTCGTAGACATCAGCCCATGGGTGAGTGAAATGGTGCGGTGACATCTCCGTGAGGATATACCGCACTGTGCGAAAGCCATTGCACTAATCTGGAAGTTTAGTTACGCCGACCCGGACCCCTCTTGAACAAACTGGAAAACCAGTCCAGAGCTATAAAACAAGGCAGAGAAGCCCGCTCCTAAAAAGGGGCCAACGTTCTAGCTCATAGAAGGCTCAAATTACGTAATTTCCGCATATCTTTAACTTCAGCACTTTTTGGTGAAGCGTTGCTGTGTTACATATCACAGAGAAATCTAGCCAGACGCATCCAAGCCCCCAAATATTTTTGATACAGCGAACAAGCCGAATTTGTATGTAGTCAAGGCCCATTTTCGGAATGGCGTCACTATCGCGCACCCAGCTACAAGCCTTCATGGCATATTGTAACACGCAAAATTCACGTTAACGTAAACGAAAGCATCGGAATCTAGATTTGCAACCAGACACTTGCCTACCAAGCCGCTGTACAGTGAAGTACAACAGTTTCACCCATCGCTAGCTTACAACGGTCGATGGTCAGTGCTTGTCCGAATTTCTTTACATTTTCTTTTTCGTGACCAGACAACAGTGACGTCACTGCGGGGTCTTCACTTCATTAACGTTAAGGCGCCGGGTCAGGTACCCCTGAGCTAGTCCATATAGAAAAGTCCATATAGGAAGCGATAGCATGGGCTTTTGCCTTGGCATGATGAGACTATGACCAGAAACAGGACATGTTTGACTAAGAGGCAGACAGGGGGGACTGGTCATCGGAGCCACAGAATCGCCGCAAAAAGAAGAAAAACAACTGAATAACGTCAAACAGAGGCAACTTAACCTGCATCGTCGTAACGCAAGACGACCACACATGACAAACAATGCGTATGAATAATAGCTTGTGCAATGGAGGCAGCCCGCTAATGTTGTAGGAGGAGGAAGCTGGTGCTCAGGGAGTGGAAAACAGATGACTTGGGGCCGAGCCATGAACGCGATACGTTAATGACTGGCCCAGGGGGCCACGGACAACTTCAGAGTCCATGACCCCTGGCCTAGCCCGGCTTCTTTGTTGCCAACGCCTCTTAAATCGGACAAACGTGCACCTGCATGCAGCAAATGCGCAGAAGACGTACATACATTTATTTCACCTCATGCAGTCATGATGTACCAATAGATCACTTTATTGACTACTGATTGCGTGACGCCGAAAATGGGTTCCCGAGTTAAAAGCATAATAAGCTTCGGTTCCTGGTGCATTCCGATCGACCCCTCGGGAAATAGCGAGGGTCATGGCGTCTAAATCCAGCTCTCCAAATAAGCGCCGCTGATACGAGGCAATCTAACGCAAATGTCCTCTAGATCAACAATACGCGATACACTTGCTCCATTAACGTTCCTTTCAAATCGTCAATGTCCAAGTTTGAAAACTTTCATTGCCGGGAAAGTTCTTGTCTAGTCCGGCCCATATAACCACTTACAGAGCCGAATGAGCTGATCTCGCTGCCCGCTCAACGTTGCCGAGAACCAGACGGCTGGATTTGACAATGACACGCGGGCACTTTGTCTGGCGGGAAACGCTGTGCAACAGAAGTGCCAAATGGAGACATGCATGATATAGACAACGGGAAAAGAAATTTGTTATTGCCGTGGGACCCGCCAATGACTGCAATTCAGCCCCAAAATTGGACTATTTGCATACGAAAGACCAGCCATAAAAGACTGCTTATCAAATCAGAATGCCGTAAAGCTTGGCCTTGAAGCCTTGATTGTGTATTCATGCTGCAATATGGCATCGTACTGCATTAACATCGATAAAGCTTACTCCATTGCGCGTTAGCTCCAAGACGAAAATTACATTGTCACCAGACCATGTCACGCTAGCAAGGTCTTACATCACGAAGATGTTGTGCGCTTAGCAATAATTTGACGATTTTTGTACAACAGCGTACTGGAATCCGGAGTCCAGAAAGCTAGATCTTATATGAATACTTTTAAACCCCGTTTCCGAGAGCACGGGGCTTGAATGTCGCCGGAGCGATTTCAATAAATCTGCGATGCCGGGCGGATCCGTATCATTTGCATGCGGCGTCAACAGCGTCGGCGACCGCCCCTGTGCAGGTCTGGGCGCCGTGAGACCGCTGTTCGGCATCGCCGGCCGATGGCGGGCGGCTAGTACTGCCAGCTGGGGGTCTGGGCGCCGTGAGACCGCTGTTCGGCACCGCCCGCCGATGGCGGGCGGCTAGTACTGCCAGCTGGGGTCTGGGCGCCGTGAGACCGCTGTTCGGCATCACCCGCCGATGGCGGGCGGCTAGTACTGTCAGCTGAGGGTCTAACGCGCAGTGCTTGTGTTGCGGACTGTTCATGGTGGACCTTAAGTGCTCACAAGCCCTTTCACCCGAGCAGGAAGAGAAACAGGGATCTGATTGGGCACCAAATCCCAAATGTACGGACACTGAGATAGAGAGGAGTGAAACCGAGGAAATTTTGTCAGACCTATCCAAATGGGTGATTAACCTTGCTAGGGAAGCGTTTTCGTTTCGTCCTCATGCATCTATTAATGGAATAACTTTCGCACATTTGGTCCAATGATATAACAAAATAAAACCACAAACGTGAAATAACGAACACTTAAATGATGACCAGACAAAAAGCCTTCCGATCAAAATTTACGCACTTTTTTGACACACATAGCAGCATTTCGTAGCTTACGCTGTTATTTATTACGCTTACGCTTTTTTGATGCATTTCGAATTTGGTATTAGGTTCGTATCGTATAATGGTAACATGAAAATGCCTACTGGTAGCGATGATGACGGACTTGGCATTGTCTTACTGGCTTTTGGTGACGAGGTTGTGCAACTCGTTCGTTTATCGAGCCTGCGCTGCTACTGCTAGTTGGTGTTGGGCCTGGGAAACTCACCGGCAATCGACGTCGGGTCTGCAACACTCTCCGTAATAGGCGCTAGTTCTTTGACACCCAATGGCAATTGGTGGCGGGTCTGCAACACTCACCGGTAGTTGATGTCGGGTCTGCGACACTCACTGGTAGTTGGTGTCGGGCGTGGGCAGGTCCCCAATGGTGGTCAGCGTGAGCGTTGACCAGTAGAGCGAGCCCAGGTACTTGCGGGTGAGCGTGGTGAACTCGCTGGACAAGTAGTATGGATACGCCCAGTTGCCACGAAAGTCCTCGGCCTCCGACAGCAGGTAGTAGAAGCAGCCGAACCAGTGCGCCAGCAGCAGCAGCACATGCACCAGCATCGCCACACGCCACACGTTCGGGAACAGCGTCCGCGACTCCACCATGTAGTAGTAACTGCGCGTGCGGTACACCTTGATGAAGCGCGGGAAGCGCAGCATCGGGTACACGCCGAGCACAAGCTGCAGCATGTCCACCGGCAGCACGGCCAGGAGGTCCAACACGAACGGTCGCGAGAACACGTAGTGGCGCGCCAGCTTCTTCGAATCGTACACCATGAGGCCCTGCTCGAGGTAGCCGGTGCGCAGCTGGACTACGATGTCGCTCAGGTAGACGAGGTCGCTGAGCACGTCGCAGGCAACCCACCAGCGGTGCACGTTCCGCTGCAGCTCGGGGAACGCCTGGCGCACGATCAGCGTCCACACGTTGTACAGCACACACAGCGTCAGCAGGAAGAGCCAGCAGAAGTAGAAGTTCTCGTCGGGGTTGATGACGCTCCACGGCGGCTTGCGGCGCCGCCTGCGCACGTGAGGCTCGGCCCCGCCGGAGATCTTCTCGCCGTCAGCCAGCGGGTCCTCTACTGTGTCCTGCGAGAGTCCAGAGGTCAGGGTCAGGGCCAGGTCAGGGCCAGGTCAGTCCGCCGAATCATGCACCACGTACCGCAGGTTATAGCCTCGGTTACATACGGGACGAATGACAAACTTAAATACGAAACGCTTTCAGCATGTTGTATTCAGCCACAGTTTCCGGAAGGCTGCGCGCAAAGACCGATGACTAGCGTCTTGTGGTTGCCCACCTGCGCCTCCACGATTTGTCTGGTCGAGAACCTGGTGATGAAGGAGTCCTCGCGCTTGAGAGTAGGCTTCTGTTTGTGTGCGGAGGTCAGCGCGCCAGACAGCTGCACAGTTGTCCTTAGCTTCATCCAGCGCTGGTTGCTTTTCATCCTGATACAAACAAACCATGTCATAAACTGGGCCGTTCCGAAAAGTGCAAACGCTCGAAGTGTAGCAGTGAGCTGAAGTGCTGCAACGTCTAACGACGATCATTCGCTTAGAGTGATGAATTGCACTACCACAGTGCACGGTGCTAGTCTAGTCGGTTCATGAATGACAAGCCTCCGTTCTGCAACGCAGCTTGCAAAAGGAAGCATCGCTCTTTCGCTAAGGGAAACATTTTTCAGTCCGGATCACTCTGCAGTGATAGATATTGGAAAAGTTTCATGACAACAAATGGCTCGTCCAGTGCAGAGTGCGAGTAATCTGTAAAAGCCACCAGACCTTATCCACGTTTCAATGATGTAATCCAGCTAAGTACGTTTATTTCAACGCTTCTCTGTCTATTTCTTCCCGCCATACAGCAGGTACGGCACCATGTGCGATTTCGCATTCATTCTCCATTTACTTTGCGTTCATTTCTCGCATTCTCCCGGCCATTGACCCATATAACCGGTTTGTAAGCAATTAACGGAGAACAGACGGCGTGGGATAACGCTTCGTAATGTTAACGTTGTTGGTGAAAAAACACCAGCGGTTTGTGCGCATCCTAAAATGTAGAGATGCAGGTATGTTCGGCGCAGATGGCCTGAGGTTTGTGATCTCCCCGTCGTCATTTTGCTGCCAACTGTCGGGGGTCCTCTATCCAGGCGCCCAGTGCTTCTGCATCCCATGCCGTTACTGAGTGGGCTGTGACGACTTTGGTCAATGGAGGCATCGTCAGTATTTAATGCCAGGTTGTACAGTTACTGCCTTCACTTGCAATCTGAATGGCGCACACAGTTGCGATTTGCAGGATACGTGGAACAGGGTTTATTCCAAAGGCTACACTTTAAGTGAGCCATCGTAGGCGCCAACATTTGACCTTGGCAAACATGAAGGCAACACAATCAGCTCACTGCGTGTACGAACAAGGTTTGGCGGCCTGCTAAGTTACCGCTAATTGGATGAGTGCATCATGAGGGGAATTTTACGAGCCATGCTTAAACGTGGCCTCTCCCTCCTTTCCAAGCTCGGCTGCGGTATGTCGTCGTGATAATATAGTCCCAATGTGGTGGCAAACCGAACCGCCGCGCACTAAAAGCGAAGCACCAGAGGTACGGGGTTCGATTCCCCGCGGTACCCGCCATTCCTGCCAGGGTGAGAGGCAGGCGACGACATATAGCCTCAGCAGCTGAGAGCGTCGTAAAGCCCTAATGACACACACACGCACACAAACACTAAAAACGAGGCGGCGCCCCATGCATTTTGAACGGAACGGGACCAGAACGACGACCGTGGAGCTGAATGGACAGCAAAATGGAATAAAAAGATCTCAAGATCAAGATCAACCGCAGAACACTGACCTAAATTAAGGTATCATTCCGTGTGTGTCTTATAAAAAGATAGAGCATTGGCAGATGACCCCTCGACCCGATAGGAGGCGATGGGACTCCCCGAAGGTTTTCTGAGGATCTCTCCCGCATTTTCCCGCATGCTGTGCAATTGAGCGTTAATTAAGACGAGTGTTGATTAAGGCGAGGGTCTCGGCCTGCTGCAAACAGGCTTGCTGCTAATGTCCGCTTAATACTTAAGTTGAGTAAAACGCTGAAAGCTCATCTGGCCTGCTATTTTTCCAGCCCGAGTGGGGTTCGCAGCAGGGATTTGATTCAGCGTAGATTACCGCCAATGTGTAACGCTGTAGGTATACGATCGGCTGGAAATTTCACTGGATCTCAATAAATCAGCGAAAATGATAAAAATAATTGTGTTATAGTTGAGTGTGGCTACCGAAAAACCCGTCTCATTAGCAACATAATCGAGTGCATCAAAACACAACTATTAATGGATTAGGTAAAGACCCTGCACAAAAAATGTTCCGATGGCACAAAATCCGTGCGAAAGTATCGAATGACGAAATATCAAATCGAATTTGCACATGCGAGAAACAGACCCCAAAAATGCAAGCGCCGCACCGATTTTCTGTTTGGTGCGCTTTCACCACTGCCAGGGAGAAAAGGACCGTGCCGTGGACGACACGGTCTGAACCCAGCGCCGGTCCATCCCAGCCACCAGCGGCTGGTAACAGCCGCCGGCAGCCCCAGGTCAACACGACGGGAGCGAATTCACGTCCTCGACGACGGCCGGTGGTTCGGGGCCTGTGAGCAGGACTGCGTTTGCCGAGCACTTGATGAGGCCCGGCGCCTGGCCGGCTCATGGTGTGGAGTTCCGGTGATTTGGCGGCGGGGCGGGGAGCGCGGCCGAGGGCGGACGGCAGCGCGGGAGCGCGGCCGAGGGCGGACGGCAGCGCGGGAGCGCGGCCGAGGGCGGACAGCAGCACGGGAGCGCAACCAGGGGCAGACAGCAGCGCAGGAGCGCGGCCGGGGCCGACGGCAGCGCGGGAGCGCGACCAGGGGCAGACGGCAGCGCAGGAGCGCGGCCGGGGCCGACGGCAGCGCGGGAGCGCGGCCGAGGGCGGGCGGCAGCACGGGAGCGCGGCCGAGGGCGGACGGCAGCGCGGGAGCGCGACCAGGGGCAGACGGCAGCACGGGAGCGCGGCCGAGGGCGGACGGCAGCGCAGGAGCGCGGCCGAGGGCGGACGGCAGCACGGGAACGCGGCCGGGAGAGGGGGGGGGGGGGGGACGGCAGCGGCGCCGGCTGCAGTGCACAACTCCCGAACAGGCCAACGCCCACCAGATTGCGAGAGGCAGTCGCGTATTGAAGAACCTGCTGGAGATAGCCCACTGACCACCGGAATGGGAAAAGGCCCTAAAACGCAGCAAATATGAGAGGTACAGAGAGCGTACGTCACTGGGGTGATGAGTGGGACAAAACCCAGAGTGGCGGAGGGACAAGGGCCTGGGGGAAAGTAGCTAAAAGCTGGACACAAATGGAAAGCCGCATTGAGTATCATCCACATAAAAAGAGGCTACTGAAGAAAGCTTGCGAGTAGATAAACAATGATAAGCATGTGCAGGGATTCATGACAGAGGAGAAAATATGGGAACCATTAGTTCCTTTATAAACAAAGCAAGGCAAACATCTTTCACGGGTCAATCAAATTGTAACAGTCATCCTGAAAAAACAGGGTGGGGAACATTTACACAAAAGTATTCTTTGGGGTACCAAATCTCCGTTCTCCTAAGAGTTTCTGGTCGTAGCACGTTTAGGACGAGGCCAGAGGTATCGTACAAAAATATGAATGCGATTTGTGAACGATTGGATAACCGGAGCGGAACGGATGCACAGGACCTCATCAATACCAGGAGAGAGGCAGCCCAGCCTGGCGCCAGAACCTGAAAGCTCGGGAACACACCCACCCACACCCACACCCACACCCACACCCACACACGCATATATGTGTATATATATATATATATATATATATATATATATATATATCGATTCACCAACACAGGGCCCTTTCCAGGAAGTAATATAAATAGCACAGGACGAATGCGCCAAAGCTAGTATCCTCTCAACTTTTGATTTAAAGGTTTTCGTGCATGCTTCAATGGCCGTCCAAATCTGCATAATCATGCCATTGATAGGGAAGTCGTGTGGAATCAATGCGCGTCGCATTTCAAAAGTTGAAAGCTCCCGAGATAGCAATGTCGGGTCTTCTTCCGTCCGATATCAAGATCCATTTGCATCATGATCGCAAAGCGCCTAACGATTACGAGCAAAAGTCGATTTGGGGCACGGTTTGTCGGACTTGAACGCCGACAACTTCCCCGGGTCGTCATCATCACAAAGCTCGAAGGAAGAAGTAACCATCAGAGCGCCAGGGATCGGCGCTCGCGCGCTCGCTAACGCAGCCCGATGCTCATCGACTGCCGATGAGCCTTATGGTATTAGCGGGGTCCCCGGAGGACGGTGGCGGACGGCCTAACGCCGGGACCGACTGAGGAACATGGGCTAGCTGCCGGGCGGTAAGACGCATCGACTAGTTTCCATCGCAGCCCGTTCCCCGTGGACCGGCGCAGAGGGTGAAGAGGCGGTCGCCAATGGACGGTGTGGACGGTCACTGGCAGCGGAGTCACCGGACCAGAGTGCCAGGGGGACAGGGCCTGGTGTCGCCGGAGGGGGAGCCCTGATACCGCGGGGGAGCAAGAACTGGTGTCGCCAAAGGGGAGGACAGGACCTGACGTCGCCGAGCGACCGAATTCGCCGCCGATCGCCTCGGTAGGATCAGCGCTCTGGGTGCGAGCGTCAGGTAAATCCGGAGCGACCTTTGACCGATGGACTGACCGATGTGATTGGTGATCCGCCAACACCGGAACCTTCATAAATCGGGCAACTGCCACAACTGCGACACTGCTGAGACATCGTGAAGTCGCCATTTTACGTGGCAAAAACGTTTGTACAGAGGCAGTTGTTCAGTTTCCGTCCATTGTACATTATGGCTGCTCCCATAGGTGAGCACACATGCGTGGTTTTACTTCAGACGCATCGGTTGCAAACATCGGAACAACGATGCAAATAACCTGCGGGACTGGCACTCGCCTACGCACACACCACCACCGTCACCAGCCGGCAGATGACAGCACACTGTGTCCGACGACACGAGGATAGATCACGGGCCGGGGATAGCTGCTGAACCAGCGAGTTGCCCACCCTGGTACGCGAGTCTACATACATCATCATGACGCATGATAATAACAAGCCTCCGTACAACCCTGATGCTGCCAGGAGGCGAAGCTCCCAAAGGCCGTCTCATTCATCATTCATCATGAATGGGGTCATTCATCTCTTTACAGCCATACACTCATTTTCATGATAATGAGCCTCGTTCTGTTTTAGCGTTTACGGTTCATGCATGCTCTTGAAAGCATGTTCGACGAATGGAGACATGAACATTTTTGTTGCTAGCTCAAGGGTCTTTGACACGCGTTTGTATTCCTATTCTAAATGAGTGTTTTCAGACATTATTATGCACAAAACTGAAATGCACATACATTTTGGAGTAAATG